AAAGCAGTTTGACTATCAGCAGGCTCAATTTTAGTGGAGTTTCATTAACATCAGTTTTGCCTCCTCTATTTTGTGTTGACTTTTACATTTTAGAGATAATCACTCAGTCTTTAGCTTCTCAAGCATTCTTTTGGATTAAAGGATGAATTTTAGATATTGCAGGTTCTGAGCTGAAAGTAGATATGAGAGCAGTTGGAACAGACATTAGCTTCTAGAATTAATCATATAATTTGAATGAATACCTTAAAGAGTGCTTGACTGAATTCTCTGACTTCTTTCTTAAACCTGAAACGGGTTTAGTTTCAGACCCCTGATGCATAAACAACACTGGCTGCATTTTTGCAGTTCGATGGCCTGCTCAGACAGGGCCCATGGAAGATTCTGTGGGAAGAGCCCTGGGTGATGCTACAGAATGGTCATACTTCCCCAGTATTCTCTGGGACTCTATAATCAACAATTTTCTGGCCAGGAAATGATATCTTTGTATATAAATAGTGGCTCTTCCTTCTGTGAGTTGTCTAATCATTTTTGAAAGCCTTTAAATTTTTGGCATCCTTAAGTTCCCATAGTAAGAAGGCATCCATAATTTAATTATGTGTTATGAGAAAAACTACCTCCTTCTGTTTGTTTTAACCTGCCCACCTGATGACTTCATTCAGTTTTTCCTATGTTTTGTACCATGTCATTTGAAGCTTGTGATTTTATAGATGTATTTCCTATTTTTTCAGTTGTCATTTTTCCAAGCTGAAGAGTCCCTATTTATTAAGTCACTCCTCAAAATATAAGTTGTTCCTTACCTTTGATCATCTCTACAGCATTTCTGTGTACTTTTTCCAGTTCTACTGTGTGCTTTTTGAGAAGGGAGGAGGGACAGGGGTTATAATCGTCCTCAGTATGCAAGAGATGTATGCAATTTTGGTTTATATGGTAGCATAGTAGTATTAGTGTTTTTGTTCTCTATGCCTTTCCTTGTAATTCCTAACACTGAATTTGCTTTTTGAGAGGATTTTAGTGATGTTTGCATAGAAAAATTCTATTACGGCTATAGTTATAAGGTCTCCATCCTGAATAAAATAACTAGTTGTAGTGCATTGACCCTGGCTGGATGCCAGGTACCCACCAAAGCCACTCTTTCACTTTCCCTCTGCAATTTGACAGGGGAGAGAAAATATACCAAAGCTTTCAGGTGTAAAGGACCAGGAGAGATCACTCACCGATTACTGTCATGGGCAAAACAGGCTCGAAGTGGGGATATTAATTACATTTATTACTAGCAGAATCAGAACAGGATAGTGAGAAGTAAAATATATCTTAAAAACACCTTCCCCCCATCCCTCTGTCCTTCCAAGTTCTACCTCCCCTCCCCCAGCAGTGCAGGAAGATGGGGAATGAGGGTCAGTTGTTGTTTCTGCCACTGCTCAGAGAGAAGAGTCCTTCCCCTGCTCCCCGTGGGGTTCCCTCCCAGGGAGACAGTCCTTCATGAACTTCTCCAGCGTGAGTCCATCCCACGGGCAACAGTTCTTCATAAATTGCTGCAACGTGGGTCACTTTTCCATGGGACACAGTCCTTCAGGCACAGGCTGCTCCAATGTGGGTCCCCCACAAGGCCACAAATCCTACCAGGAAAACCTGCTACAGCATGGGCTCCTCTCTCCACAGGTCAGCAGGTCCCTGCCAGGCCCCTGTTCCAGTGTGGGTCTTCTCCATGGGCTGCAGGGCAATCTCTGCACCTCCATGGTCCTCCGTCAGCTGCAGGGGCACAGCTGCTTCACCATGGTCTGCACCACGGGCTGCAGGGGAATCTCAGCTCTGGTGCCTGGGGATCTCCTCCCCCTCCTTCTCCACTGACCTTGGTGTCTGCATTATTGTTCCCATGGTCTCACTCCACTCTTCTCTAGCTGCAATTTTCATCTGCATAATAACTTTTTTCTGCTTCTTAAATATGTTATCACAGAGCTGTTGCTATCATTCCTGACTGGCTCAGCCTTGGCTAGCAGTGGGTCCATCCTAGAGCTGTCTGGCACTGGCTTTGCAGGACATGGGGGAAGCTTCCAGCAGCTTCTCACAGAAACCACCCCTGTAGCCCCCTGCTACCAAAACATGGCCACAGAAACCCAATACACTAGTTCAAAGTCTGTCACTGTGTAAAACTAGGATTGTGTTTCCCTGGGTACATGACTTCATAGTTATTAAAATGAATGCCATCTACCTATGTAATCTCTGATTATTCAGTAACGTGGTGTTTCTTTCACAGTTCTCAGTGACTTTCAGTTTTTTACCAGCAGACTTTTTTTTTTTTCTTCTTATTTCACTATTTTTTCCCCCAGATCACTTAGAAATGTTTGAAAAGTAGAGATCATTGCGCAGGTTCTTGTTGGGACCTCAGTGGTAATTGCCTTCTGTTGTGGAAACTCTCCATTTATTCTAGCTCTGGTTTAATGTGTTTTAACTAGTTACAAAATCCAGAAGATTTACCCCTTTATCCTATGTTGGCTTACTTTATTTAGAAGCATTTTAACAGAATTTATCCTAATTTTCTCAACTGAGAAAAGCTGGTGCGAAAAAGTTATTCTAGCCAAATAGACAAATACAGTTGTTTAGTTCAAAACAGAGGTATTGAAGATCATAATCTCTTATAAGTTCTGATGAGGAATTAATCAGGCTGTTTACTGAGCACTAACGTGACTTTGATGAAGCTCCTGAATGCTCTTCAGCTTTGTATGTGGTGCAATGTTTGTTTCAAAGGCTGGTCTGCAGTTATGCCCAGCCATCTCCCAAAGACTGCATCCTAGTCTGAGCACAGTCCTTTGTGCATTTCACCTGTTAGCATGACCTGACTTTACTGGAAGGATAACAGAGAGTCCAGCTGCTTCTCATAAAGGAAAATCCAATGAGCTGTAACATCAGGGTGGATGGTGGAGTCTGTATCTATGCAGTGGAAGGAGCAGATATGACCCTTGGGATGAGGGTTGAGTCCAGGTGACAGCAACCTGCTGATAACCCAGCAGATGAGCTGGAGGGATTGGGGAGAGACAGCTGGGGATAATTTCAAAGATTCTTTGTTCCTTGTCCTGTCCTACTTTAGTGTTGTGCATTTTGTGGCATCCCGTGCCTACCAGGCAACAGTGTTGGGGTACCAGCACTACACACACATGGATGGATCCAGAGCTGAGCACCTGCAGGTAAAACCACAGTAGTAGAGAGGATCATGACTCCATAACTGGGGCAGAAGAGGGGAGGTGGGTTCAGAAGAGAGAAGCAGCTCTTCCAAGGTTAACCACAAAGCCAGCTTCAGACCTTGAGTTTCAAGTCCTCAGTACTGTCAGCAACATTACAGTTGTCAGTTTTCCAAGTAGTGGTGAAAGAAAAAGAACTGAAAGACTGAGAATCTTCTAGCACAAGGTAGCAGGGAGCAAGTCGTTTATCCATTGGTGCACTGGGGTAGTGTGGAAGCAAAGGAATGAAGAAATATAGGTGGGATCCCTTGAACAGGTTAAGTCTAGAGAAAGCTACCTACAGGCCATGGCCCATAAGAGCAAAAGTAGTAGTGGTGCTCCAAGCAAGGGAAGGCCCAGAGGGTGGAAGGTGAAGATGCTGCTGAACTCCTTTTCTCCTGGATTATCACACTCTTTTGTTGCTGAGGAACTGAGTATGTAGAGTGACCCTTTAGTGTTTGGAGTCCTTGTCCTCAGTTTACTTTGAAAGGTTATTTTTGAGGGAGAGGAGATAGGGCTAGCAGTTGTCTCTGGTCTTGTTTGAAAAATTTTTCTGAATATTTTAAGGGTTTGCAATGATGAAAAAGTTTGTGGAGGAAGGAGCAACACATTCAAGGGAAGCTGTGACATGTTCAAAGAATGTAGGTTGAAAGTTTCAATAGGATCCTGAAGCAAAGAGATTGCAGTTAACTCCCTTGCTAAAACCATGACTTACACTCCAAATTGTGGCATAAAAGACATCAATTATCTTTTACATCCTAGTTATTTATGATGAGGATAGGAAATACAAGGGAAGTCTGCCCTGAGAATCCAAAGGAAATACTTGGAAGGAGTGGCTGAGAGATAAATGACAATGATAACAGAAACTTGGGAAACTCAGGCATTGAGGATTGAGGGTTTTATTAGCAAGAGCGTCAGGATTCAGTAGGTCATATGGCATCCTGTCTTGTGAGCACAGAATGTGCGAGTTGCTGGGCCATTGTAGCCTCTTCAGGACACCTTGTGGTCCTGTCAGTCGGCCACCTGCTCTCTGCAAAGCCCCTTGGCCTTGTGTGTTGCTGCTGCCTTCTCACCAAGGCTTACAAACTTCAAAGCAAGCCAGTGAGCTCCTTTTGGTACTTATCATGTTGCAGGCCACAGCTGAACTCCCACTGTGTAAGCCTGGGTTGTAAGCGCTCCTGTCTCTTTGCAGGAGACCTTTTGTCCTCTGGGAAAGGCTTGCATTACTCTAATGATGAAAGAAATGAGACTGTCTTTGCTTATCTCAGGTCTTTTGGATTGTAACTGTATGGAGTCAACATGTACTCTAGTTGCAACCTCACCCAGCCAGTCATTTATCTTCTGTGGATATTGTACTGTGTGTCTTTCTTCTATTCCACTCTCATTGCAGCATGTGTGTGCTTAGTGTAAGCCTTGTGTTAGTATATTAAAATATCTACAAATCCAAATAAATGTCTCATTAGTGATGGGAATCCTTAGCTCTTTTCCTGCTGCAACTCTGCCTCTTATCACTGCTGATCAGCCACAGAAATGTTCCAGTTTAGAATTCTTACTCTCTTTTTCTTGGTTCTCTTCAAGAAAATGTCCAGTAAGATAGTCCCAGACTGGAATTCATTAAAGTGTTTAGCAAGACTGCATTTGGCACATGGCACCTCTAGCAGGTGTTGTGCTTGCTAAAGCCATTTGCTGTAAATTCATAGCTGGCTAAGTATTAAGGGGGTTTTTTGAAGCAGCAGTGCCTTGTAGGTGGGAATAGTGAAAATATGATGGCTCTTCTTTTCTCAGGGCTCTGGAGAATCATCATTTTGCCTGTGACAGAGAGGTGGAGAACAGTGTCTACAACAAGGTGACAGAGAGTCCACTGGCACATCCCAACTATCAGCTTCATTTTGCTGTGCAGCAACTTCAGCAGCAGAAACTTCAGTCACGACAATTGTTGGAGCAAAACCAAACACGGCAACAGGTAACTAAGAAAAAATCCCGCCTGGGATGTAGCAGTGCTGATTGAGTCTTACATGTGCAGAACAAACCCAGAAGGCAGTACACGTGGCACAACTTTTGTGAAGAAAGTAGCTTTTAAAGTGGGTTTCAAAGAAATTAATATTACCTGCAGTGATTTTAATAGCATTTTGGTGCTGTAGTTCCCAATAGCTTCTTCCATTGCATTGGCATCTTAAGAACTAGAGGAAATATGAAAAAGGGCTTGTATTAATGATGTTCTGGCTGACACCTAGATGCCAAAGGTGGACCACTGTGTTTGGAACAGCATTTCCATCCTTCCTGTGGAACCTTCCAAGGTTACAGTGACTTCATTGATACATTTGTTACCTTACTTTGTTATTATGCATAGAAAGATGTATTCTGAGTGATGTCCAAAAGGCTTCCCTGCTAAAGTTAAAGAAGTCTTTGGGTGAACAAAGCTTCACTCAAAAGAGTTTGGTCTCCCTTAGTATGGAGCTGTTTGCTGGGCAGTCTGGTATGACTGGACTCCTGTGAACAGATTTAACACATGGAGGTCCAAACACCCACTCTCCCTTCTGTGAAGCAAGTGAGTCATTAGTCAGGGTCTTTGAGAAAGGCTGTAGGCAAATTGCCCTCATCCTTTTCTGGGAGCATCTTGAAGGAGAGGCCCTTCTGCTTTTGCTCCTTGCACTCCTTCTTTTAAGGCCCTTACTTAGCTATGCAGTTTCCATCCTCAACTTCCCTCACCTACAGTTGTCTTGTTCCTCCTCCAAGCAGGAGGTCTTCCTTTCATCTTAATTCATGGGTGGGCACTTGGGGCTGCTCATGAGCTCAGAAAAGGGCTGTAAAATGGCTTGTGCCTGTGAAGAGGCTGGAGCTGGCCATGGGGCCTGGCTGAGCCCTCTTCTAATTGCTGACATTGAGCTGATGTTATTCTTGGCCTGGGCAGAGCCATTACTCAGGAGTTTCTGTTAAAGTAATTCTTTGTTAAACCTTCTCTTACACCCACAACGTTCCCCTCCTTTCTCTCTCTCCCTTCTCCTTCAGAGCCAAGCAGTTTGGAGAGGCCATTGCCATGCTTAAGGACTCAGGCTGCACTGAGCAGTGCATTTCATTTGCCATTAATGAAAAAAGGTATTTGCTGAACTTGAGGGCTTTCAGACTTTCTGTCGTGAAAATCACATCTTAATGAAATGATTGCCCCTTGGACACTTCCTCTCCCAGTCGACATTGTATGGAGCCAGCCAGCCAGCCCTCCTCTTCAAGTCACAGTTGCATTGATCCTCTGATGCCCCTGCTAGTCACAGCACTATCCTCATCTTCATCTGTCTGTCACCTGCACCCTCTCTATCTTCCTGTCACTGTCCTCTTACTTAGGTTCTCAGATTTCAGTCCTTTGACTTGGCCTTTCCAAGAACTACCTTCTCTTTTCTGCTGCTTATGTGTTCCCTGCCCTACGTCTTCCCACTCACACTGCTTTGACTTCTGCCCCACCTTTCATGCTGGCCCTCATTTATCCTCTCTTTTTAGCCACAGGTGATGTAGCTTATCCTAACCTGCATTGCTTTACACATTTCCTAGTCAGTGTCACCTATGCTACCTATCTTCCATTGCCTGCTCTTTCCCTTCTGTTCCTTCCCATGTATTGAGATCTACTCCATCCTTTGTTGTCTTGCCTGCTGTATTCAAGTTCATCAGCCTCCTCTCAACAGAAGAAATATATCCCGCAAGATGGAAAGGCCTATCACTTGAAAGAGTGTCATGATCTCTCTGCTTTGGGGAATGCATCCAAGATATCTCCGAGCATGTTTCATCTGATTGTAGGAGTTCTTATTACGGTTAGAAGGCAGGATAGCCATTTGTCAGTAGCTGAAGTACATCTATTCATTAATATATCTGAAGGCACACCCTGAGTGTGACATGACCATGCAATATGAGTAGATGCCAGCCTTTCCCTCTGTCTGTGACAAAGGGACTAATCATATGTATGACTGTATATATATATATGTGAACAAATAACAGAAGCACCATGATTAATAACACAGGCAAATACTTCCTCCTGTACATTAACCAATTTAATATGCTGGAGATGAGATGGATGCATTAGAAAGCACAGGCTTTTCTAGTCAAGTATCTGTGTAATAGGAATAGCCCCATCTACCATGCAGTGGATGTATCTTATCATGAAGGCTTGTTGTGTGCTTCCTTGTTCCAGCACCCGCTCTTGGTTGAGACCACTTTCCAGACACTTAAGAATGATGATGATTTCTCCAGGCATTTAACAATTTGCAGAGTAGCAGATTCTGTGTAGGAGGAGGAAGAGGAATAATAACCAACAGTTTTCACTCATTGTATGGGGAAGTTAGTTCATTCGGTGCAGTATGGTAGAAATAGATCTTTGATGACAGAATAGGTACTTCGTTCATTGGACAAAAAGAACACCACCAAACTGACCGGATGAGAATCTGACAAATAGGTAGAATGACATGGATCAGGAACAGAGACAGCACTCTGAGAAAAGAGAAGAAAATAGAAAGGGGAAGAGTTTGAAAGTGGAGACAAGAAGCTTAAATTGGATATTAGTAAAATCAAGGAACAAAAATTACAAAATCAAACCAAAAGACAAGAAAAACAGGCTTATAGCAGTATTTTTAATGTTTAATGGAGACTTCATGTGACATGTTATGACCTAAATGTTAGTATCACTGCTGCAGTTGGCAAGACAGTTAATACACCCTCATTGTTTACTCTCTAATTGTTTCCTGTACTGGAAAGATGCCATTAGCTGTGAGGGAGGTTCCTTTTTCTCTGTGTGGCTATGTTCTGTCTGCTTAGCCTAGCATCTACTGGGTTTAGAATTTTATGCCAAACATTTCACATGGGAAAAAAGTTAAATTAAAACAAGAAAAGTACAATCATATGGTGGGATGATCCCCATCAGTCCTGCTTACATCAGAAAGGCTTATGCTAAACAAGACATGAATCATGTTAGTGAGTTGTGTGGGCAGTTGTGTGATTACATTTTCAATGAGAAGTTTAAGTAGATTTTAGGCTGTAGAACGTTGGGCTAAGTTAATCTTAAACAAGCCTGCTCTCAGTCATTTAAAAATAGTATGTTCTCTGAAATATTCCTCATTTTATGGAGTTCAGCAAATTTTTTTCTTTCGATGTTTGTGACTCTCTTTTGAAATCCTTAGACTTTATTTAGATCTGACTGGGAATGTTGAGTACTCAGAATAATATTCCTAGTATTCCTAGAACTACATTATTCCTGTTTGAGGACACAGGGACTCTGAATACTGCCTTAAACATCATTAAACTGTTTTCTAAACTGTTATATATTTAACTGCTGTCAGATTTGCAGTATCTCTTTCCTTCAGTTTCTTGTTCATTCTTGTTTTGCAGCTTTCTCCCTCAGATTGTTTTCCCACTAAATGTGCTAACTGCCATTTTTCCTATTTGAGTCTTGTGATGCTGATGAGTCAAAGTCTCAGTCTAAGTAAAAAGAACAACCATCCTGAAACCAGTAGTCTGTGCTGATTTATACCAGCTGAAATTTTGTCCCCATGTTTCTGATCCTATCACTGTTACTAGAATTGTGATAATGCCCAGATGTATTAACTGTCTTTCCAATACAATGATAGAGCCCAATCCTTGTCCCAGAGACCTATCAGTACCAAGAGGGAGATAAAGGAGAAGACACCAAGTCAATTGATTTTAGTGCATTTTATCCTCGCTCTGAAGAATTTGCTAAGGAGGACATGCCTCCGGATAGTCTGTGCATACCATGAGTTTGCCCTTCCTGAAATTTCCTAATGACCCCAAGACGCTCCTCTTACTGCAGTTTAACACAATGGTAGTTAATAGTACATTTCAAGTCTGTTCTTTATTGCCACTCTGTGAATTTTCAACTCCACTGATTGTTCCATTCAAACTGATTTAACTGAATGCATTAGTATGTATTCAAAAGAATTTTCGCTAAACTGTTTATATGACTGGAAAGGTCTTCTAAGCCTATTAATTCTCCGTATTTTTGCAATGTTATCTGAAACACAGTTGCTTTTCTAAAAGTGGTGGGGTTTACTTCGTTGGGTTTACTTTATTTTTCTTTTTTAAACTTAAATCCTTGTTATTGTTTATTGCTTATAAACCTCTCAGTTTCTAGCACCAAAATCTTGTGATTTGGAAGTAGCTGCATGGATCTTTATGCAGTTCATGTGTGTGGGCATCTGTCTGTCAGTTCTCATACACTGCTGAGTCTTATGTTTTTCAGACTTGCTGATCCAACTGAAAGTGAATGACTATGGGATAGAAATCTCAAAACTATGTTTCATACAAATTTCATTAAAATAAAGAGCTGTATATCTGGGAAGGGGATTAAACTACTGTTCCCATTAAGGTAAAGGCTGCAGCATGAGACCATTCCTAATTAGACAGCAGAAAATCAACACAAGAATGCCCAAGACCCATGAAGGGAGGCATAATTTGGGGTATGCTTTGTATTAGATACTGTAAGACAGATTAACAGGAAATGAGCTTCATTACCTCCTCTGGTCACACAATGAACATGTTTTTGCTTGCAACATTTGTTCCATTACTGTGCTAGGGATGGGTGTTAGATACAGGAATGGTAAGTGCCAAGAACATTCCTTCTGTTTTTGAAGATCATTAATATATCTGCTTTTCTTCAAAGTACTACAGTACCTTTCTGCTTTTAATCACTAACAGCCCGAGCTTAGCTACTGCTGGCTGATACTCTTAGATGTGCATTGTCTTTACTTACAAGCTCTACATGTTGAGATTTTCTAATTAGAAACTACTCTTTTTTGTACAGCTAACACTTTGTGTATGGTATCCCTGTGTAGATTTGGAAGCAAGGAGAGGTGTGGTCTAATGAGGTGAATATGGTATTGGAAGTTAGGATCTTTTCACAGCTTTTCAGACATTTCAGCCTAGCTTTTTGTATTGCTCAGTCTGTGGGTTTGGGAAAAGCACTTTCTCTGTCAGTGCTAACATTCTTCATGGGCAAGACAGGATTAATGCTGTCCTACCTCCACAAAGAATTGTGTAAGAGAATTAACTCACTATTGCCTTAGAAGATTTTTAGCTAAAAAGTCTTATAGCTTTCTTACTGTTTTTCAGATTTGCAGCCCTAAGAACTTGTTAGGGTAATAAATGTGTCCTTGACATCAGGTTAAATCTGCCAGCCTGCAAAGTGTGATTGAAAGATTTTACTTGCAGCAGCAATAGATGTAGAGTTCTGCCTGCTTCAGGACTGTGTCTTTTAAGGCTAGGCTGAGCTTCTGCTCTCCCTAGACCCTTAGCCTTCAGAATCCTGAGTAATGAGTTTTGTATCCTATTTTTTAGATGTGCTGAATTGTCTTCCCAACCCTTCCTTTGTGTGGCCAGGCTCTGCTCTCCCCAGCTGCCCTCTTTATTTGCACAGTAGCTTCTCCTGATTTCCTGTCCTGTCCCCACGGAGTTCACAGCAGGGCAGTATACTTTGTAGCTGAATCCAGAAGCCATGGTCCATGTCAGCTTCCAGTCACCCCATCCTTGCCTGGAAAACAGCCAGAATCTTAGCACAGTGTAGACTCAAAGGCCTTTTTGGAAGTCTGTTACCCCATGAAAAACATCCATGACCTTTCTTAAGGCAGATTTGAGCCCAGGTTTTGCTGATCAGACTTTGTTAGAGCATCCATGCTTGCTGTTTCTTCAGAGTCATGGATCTCCTTGCCACTGCATATTAACTCAGGGAAGGGGTTGTGACTGTACGCTTTTTTGGCTCCAGGATCTTAGTGACTTTAATAGCAAGAAAAAGAACTTACAGGGAAGATGCATAATACCAAAGAGCACAGTGAGATGCCACCCCTGAGGAAGAAGTGGGAGCAGTGACTTGAGGGTCTCCATCCCAACCCCATGATGTGTCAGGCTCTAAGATGCAAGAGACTAAACCAAGTTCCATTTTAGTTTATTTTGTGGGGTGTGACTGCTATTTTCCAGACTTCTGCACTTGTATTAGCTAGTTAATTCAAAATCTGAAAGCTGCAATCAAGAGCTTTAGGGAAGGGAGAAGTTAAGGAGGGTTGAGAGCCCAAGGGCATCTTGTCAGTAAGCTTTACTTAGGAAACAGGCCTGTTTTGGCTTCTGCACTTCCTTTTCTCCCTAGAGCTCTCCCTGTCAGAAACGCCTTCCCACACACCACTAGCCCTGCTATTTGCCAGAGAATTGCGGGGGAGAGGGGCTTTTCCTGTCTGTATGCTGAGACTCAGCCAGCTCTCAGACTGTGGTTTTCTCTGGAGCCTGGAGCCCACTCGCTGTGGCTTTGTGTATTTTCCACCAGAGAAGAAACTGAGCACGAACTCAGTGAAGGGCACTGCTCCCGGGGTCACACTGAGGTAACTGGCAAGGGCTCAGCTATTCCCCTCATCTCCTATCACTGACCTCTAGCTGCCAAACTGCAAGGTTACGGTACTGCCTCTGCGCTGGGAATCTGACTGACTTCGAGGAAAGACAAGGCAGAACTCCCGGCAGGTTGCTTCTTTCTGAAGAGAGTTTAGCAGTCTGCAGAACTCCTATAGGGCAACATTCTCCACTCCCTGCTTTGCCAGTCCACAGCTCAGTTCTCCAGTGTGTCATAACATGCAGGTTCTTTTGTTCCCTGTGTCAAATATCCAACATTACTCTCCCACGTGCTATAGAATAGAAATATTTTTTGTCCTGTAATATTACTGGAGATTTCTTTTTTTGTCAGAGGTGAACCTAAAGTCCCTTTTTCAGAAAAAAGTACTCTAGAGGCTTTCTGTTGTTCCAAGTACAGGGTTAGACTAAATAACTGACATTGGAACATCTACCCTACAACCTTTTTCTTTCCTAGAATTGTATCTCAATTCCACCTCCCACATAAAGAGTAATTTAGCAAAATAAATGAAGAAAGTCAGTCAACATAATGAAAGCTTTACTTCTTTGTGGGTGGAAGCCCACTGCAAGGTTAGATTAAGGATTAAACCTCACGTTTTTTAATCCAGAATAGTATAATTTTGTGGCAGTAATGAGGTTATCTGCATTCCTAGAAGGTAGTCCCAGCTTCTAAAGGCATAAAATTCAGCTCTAAAAACTACTTTATGGATTTGACCACTTAACTCTTCTTTTTATGCATGGGAGTCTCCCTCGAGCCCTGGGAGAGTCCCATGCCTTCACCAGACAGATGTTATCCCACCAGACAAAAATGTCACCCACCTCCATCAGCGTTCTCAGCAATGTTCACAGAGGTAATCACCAATTACTATGTTTTGTTTTGTTTTGTTTTTTTACCCAGGCTCTCTTTGCCAACTACTCACAACCCAGCACCAGCCATATATCTATGCCAGCTGGCTCTGATGCCCACAAGACATCAAGTGCCACTTGTAGTATCCAAAAAGCAACCAGTTTGCACAAAGTGATGCCATCCCAGAGTACACCTCCTCAGCTGGTTCCAAAGCCTCCAACAAACCACAGACAGGCAGTGATCAGAAAGGCTGCAGCCCAGAGGATTTCCAAGTAAGTTTTATCTCTTCCATCCACAACAGGGAGTTGGCACTGGTTTTCCCAAAAATAAATATCGGAGAAGAACCTATCTGCATCTGACTTTGACTGATGTCCGCTGTGCTGTCCAAGATAGATCTCAGAGTAACTTAAGGTGTGCGTACTGAAATCTGTGCATTATGTTGCAGTTTTGTGTTTCACAGTGGTAAGGAAGGTAAAACTGTAATACAAACATGAGAACATAGGAACTGCCAGATTGATTCCAAGGTGGGGCTCAGTAACCTAAATACAGGTTGCTAGTGACATTCTAGATGGCCAGGGCTATTCCACCTGACCTCCAACTGCTGTTCCAGGTGAGTACAGGTCTTCTGTAGATCTTGTGTTGTATCTGCCAGTCCCATGCAGAGGCCTCAAATAACTTTAGAGTATGAAGTATGGTAGTAGACATCTGTGTTTAGGCACTTGAGTCGCTCCATGTTTAATCTTTGATGGGGGCTTGAATCTGATGGGTCAGAAGAGGGTACCAAGAAAAACCCCAAAACAAAACAACAAAGCAATCCAATATCTTTAACAAGCTTATCTGCCCTTGAACCAAGTTTTTCCATAAATGTAACATACCATGTTTGACTTAGGTCTTCAAGCACAAGTGTTTATTTCATTTAAAGTGTTTATACTGTGCCTGATGTAATGATAGCTTTCCTCATTATCTGTTGAAATCCTTCTTTTAACTTTTAGAAAGCTTTAATTATATAGTGCTTGCTATTCTAAGTTAGATGGATGGATTTGACATGTGTTATCTTTAAAAACAAACAAAAATATTCACCATGAAATGATGCTACTTGATTTTAAGTTTTCTTCCTTTCCATTTCTATATGTGTCTTCTCTTTTGTGCATTATGAGAAAATGTGAGCAAGACTTCTGGGTTTTCAGCTTCCTCAGCTCTTTGTTTATCTCTGCTTAAATGACACAATTGCTTTAGACTAAATCCTTCATTGAGTTCTTCCTCATCTATCCTCAGACTTATTTAATTCTAAAAAATTGCATTCATAACTTCTGCCCTTGTACTTACTCTAGAGCCAGCAGAGTTGTAAAGCTTTCAGAGCAAGTTCCTGTGAGGTTTCCTGACTCTCAGTTCCCCTCCTGTTTAAAGAGAGAAGTTTTACTTAGTAAAAGATTACTAATGAAAGACACCTTAGGAAGATGCTAGGGCACAGTCCGTGTGTGTGAATCCCATTTGGAACAGCAAGGCATATTTAAGGAACTTGAACAGAACTGCTTTGGGGACGTTCATGTATTTCCTGCCTGTACGCTTGCCATCTTAAGAGATAGCACACTGAATTAATCCTCCAAATCTATTTAAAAAGAAAACAAAGTGTTAGTGGACTTTGTCAGCTCAGCAAATGATGTGATCGTGAGGTCTGGCAGGTATATGCTGGTAGGTTTGCTATCTGGTTTCTTTTATGTTGGGTAGCTCATGTTAGTACAGGTGACAGGCTGTGTCAGTGGGTTTCTCTGCTGGGCAGCAGGGATGTGTATTTGAAGATGCCGGTGTGCTGTGCTCACTTCTTGGCAGAGGAAATGTTTATCCTTGTGAGATGGAATTGCAGCTCCTTGGACAGACTTTACTTTGCTGCATTTTTGTGGTTTCTGCTCTGTGACAGGCAGGAGTGTGGGAAAACCGGAAAAAGTTCAGCACCAAAAATGCACAGAAGGGAGAAAAAAAGCAAAAGATTCCTTCAGAATTTCAGAAAACGAATCCAAGTATCGAAGGCTGCAAGGAGCCACTCCGGAAATACTTTCCAAGTTGCCTTTCAGTCTCCAACATAAGGCTCCAAACCCATTCTTGCCATTCATGGGATCTTGCAGTAACATTTTTTCACTTACATGGAAAACAGCAGTGCCCGGCCATATTTCCAGCATATATTTCCAGCTGATCATTTAAAAGCTGCTATGTCTCAGTCTAATTTAATCCATTCATTGTTATCAGGAAAAGACCCGATATGCATTGGCAGGGGGGTGAATGGAGAGAAGCCTCTGTGTCAAAGGAATACAGATTAGAGAAGAAAAAGATGTCTTGCATGCTCCAACCTGTTTTCTGCAGTCTCTGATTATTTTGTATGAAGTATCCTCAGACACCATGTGTAGTCTGCTTTCAGAAAAAGTCCAGTGGTAGAAACTCCACTGTGTGCAATAACAGTCTATTTAAGAATCTAGACAAGCTTATTATCAGCTAGTTTCTCCTGATGTGCTATCTGAATTTTTCCTTTGTTTCATCCTTTTGTACCGTGTTCCTCCTTCCTGAACCACCCTGAACACTTTCCCTTATGAATACTTTCCATCTTTTGAATATCCTTCTACTTCCTGGAGTCACCTAATGTTGCTTAGACTTGTTGAGGTTTTATTCACCTCAGATACTAGTTCCACCTGTCAAGTCCTTAGTTGTTTTGAATTGACTGTATTTTCTTCAGTTTATCAGAGTGCTTGCATTGTGGTACTCAGAATTGTACTTTTCCAGTGTGGGACTACCATATCCTTAGGTTATGACATGGTAAATGTCCCTCTCCGTAACATCTTTTTGGCTTTTTCATTTGTCTCTTTGGTCACTTTTGATTTGCTGCCCTCTCTCACCCCCTGATACTTCTTGGCTGTCTTGTTGATCTCTTTCCTGAAATAGGATCTTAGTGCTATGTATTATTTCCACAAGACTCACTGAAACTAATCCCATTCTGTTGTTAAAGCTCTTGCTTTTCTTCTTTTCCCCCCATATATTTCAGTAAGTTAGACCTTATTTGTGTCTGCTCTCGCACTGCCTGGCTTTTGTTTAACATCTTAATAAAGATAATCTTTTTGAAGTTGTTTGTAGAATTTCTCCAGAGTCTGGACTGTGAAGAAAAACTAAAATCAACTTTGTCTCTTTGACCTATCTCCTCCTTGCATGCGTTATCAATTCTCTCCCAGCCAGCACACATGGCTTCCAGAAGAGGAAGAAATAAGAAGTAGAAAACTCAACTACAAACAGAATGAGATGCTAAAGATGAACATTACTGACTAATTCAAAAACTATCTAGTAACTTGGACACTTCCCTGATTGAAACATAAAGGAAAAAAGTAATGGAACAGCCAGACAATTCAGTCTTGTCTTTTCAGTTCCTGGCCTCTCTTGTTTTCTTAGTTTCTCAACTTGTAAATGGTGGTAGGTTGACTTTATAATGGATTGTGTCCAAAGCAGACTCCTTGCTTAAACTAACACAGTGGAAAACTGGGGCCCATATTAAGGTGCAGAAAAAGAACTAATTGGGAGAAATGGTTTAATATGCAGCTCTATGCTGAAATGTAGTCCCATAAAATGGTCTCATGGGGCTCCATAGTTTTGATTAAATGTCCTCATATCACAAGTAGAAAGACAGTTTTTGGACAGCTAGCACAACAAGCTCTTCTTTCTTTCTAAGAGTCAGACTGTGACCTTTCCCCAGTGCTCTAGTTGCCACTACTATTGGCAGGTCTGTGAACCATGAAAAGACTGCTGATAGCTGAGAGCAACATTTTGTGACAGATCACAGATACGGTATTCATAAGCCATGGAATGAAGCAGATGTCCCTGGGAGCAGCATTTGATGTATGGAATCTTCACATTACTAATGACAGCATGCAAAATAGAAAAATATATTAGCTCAACTGTCAGAACCCAGAGTGAACTGGTACAGATGGTAGAAGAAGAATCTCTCTGCTTTTAGGATTGACTGAGTCATAGTAAATACAAATTTCTGCACTAGTAACTTTTCAGAAACCTGCTCTCTAACTGTGACAGCATCAAGTAGAGCAAGGCTTTGAAGAACCTGTGAACAGAACCATCAGTCAAAGATCTCATAAAAATTCATCTGTCAATGTTAGACCACTGTATATAAAGAGAGGAAATGCTAGGTAGAGAAAAGGAGCATATAGTTCAAGATGTTACCAGGGTAGGAGAGACCAAGAAGGTCACCAAGTTTATCAGTAGTTGGCTGAAACATCACAAACTGTTGGGGATATTTGGTCAGCATGGCATAATTTCTTGTAGTGAACATTGCTGTAAATGTCATTCATAACTCTATTCAGGAAGCGTTTTGAAACAAATATTCCCTTCAAGTCCCAACACCACAGCACAAAAATCTTTCTGCCTTGTTCTCCCTTGTGTAATTGTTTTGTGCGGTGCCAGCAATAGAAGAGCCAAAGTTCTTCTCTATTGTAACTAGTACAGAAATAGGGTAGAGGAGATGCATTTCTCCAGGGATCAGGAAATCCATCCCAGGGCAGGGAAGAGTCCTGATTGCAGTTGGACACAGCAGTAGCCATCTTTTCTAGGACAGTGTGGCCAAGCCTAGCAAATGTGCCAGAAGTAGATGATGGTCACAGAGTAAGCCCTCTAAAACACTATGGTTCTGGTTTATATCCTGTCTTGTCCATGTGTGCTCATTCACAGGTATGCATGAAGTGTCTTAAGTGAGCCATGTACATCACATATGTAAACTGAGGGCCCACTGAAAAGAGGACAGGCAGCAGGAGAACAAGCATGTAACTGTTACTGGAACCTTTTTACCTTTTGCTACTGCTGTACTGCGGCACGCTTGTTTTTTCAGCTCCTGAGTAGCTGGGTTAATGAGGCTGCCTGACCCTTAGACATTTTTGGCAGCAAAAGCAGTGCATCTGAGAGACTTGCCTTGATTTAACACCCTGACACAGCTGGGCTTACTAGACCTGTAGCTCATAGCCCTTGGCTAGCCTCAGATCATACACACAGATACACATGCAGGGACACCCTGTCCAAGAACAACAAAGAGGAACAAACCTCTCTGGCGCTGGAATTGTAATTCTGTTGCTGTCCTTTTGTTAAACCTGGGCTTTTTGTGATATGAATTTGTTAGTGTCAATTCTGTCTGGTTCCACTGGATCTTTAAATGCATTCGGAAGACCCCAGGAATAGGTTGTTAGAACAAAGGTGTTCAAAATTTAGTCAAGAAAGTATTTCTCTGTCACTTGTGGAACAAATTTGCAGTCCAAGGCTGAGCAGCTTAGGGCTGGTCTAGTGCCTAAATGAAGGAACTTTGAGTATCAAGGAGGGGTTAGCTGTATAAGAGACAGAAAAGGGCAGTGACAGATATTTAAATGGAGAGGACAGTGCAGACAGTGTTATTGTTAGTATTGAAGAAGGAGAAATGGAGAATATAGCAATTGGAGAACTGGAAGCAAAAGCGACATGGACATTAAAAAGCAGGAAACTGAGAAAGGCAGTTGGATTTCAGCCAACCCAAGGAGGAAGAAAGTGGAAAGGGATTAAGTCAGTTTAAGCAGTGAATATGTTCTGGCACTGAAGCTTCCATCAGGACACAACAGAGAATGTGAGGGGTGAGATCCCAGGAGCAATGCTGAGAGTGAGCTGTCTGGGGGTGACAGCTGAAACTGCAAGAATCCGGATACATTGTGGGTAGGCAGAGAAGACGAGTTAAGTCTGTAGAGAGGATAGAAGCCACGCTTTAAGGTAGAAATGTGACTGTTCTCTGTTTTGCTTTTATGTTGCTGTTATACTTGCCGGTGTTCTTGATGACATTTTCAACCACTAGTCTTGCATTCTACCTACAGAAGGGTGAGCTGAATTTGACTGTCAGTTGTGCTGTGTTAATGAAGTGGAGTAGCTAATTATGAGCAGGGAATATCTATGTAAGAAGCATAAAGATCCATCTGGATTCTTAGCTTCCAGAAGGACCACGCAGTATCAGCACGAAAAGATGCCATAAATACAGATCCAAAATTCTCTCCAAGAGACAATAAACACGGGAACAGGCCCTTCATTTGACAATAGCATTTGCAATTAAGGCTGACTGAAGTAAGGGATTGTGTTACACAAATGTATCTGATTCCTCCCCCTTCCTGTATGGACTCCAATTTATTTCACTGAAATCCTGCTGAGATAAATTACAGGAGTCCCTCACTAGCCTTTTAGCTGTCAGGAACACCTGGATTACTTGCTGACCTTGAAATCTGAAAACAAAAGGTTTCAGATAAAACTATAGAAACTGCACATGTGTGTCTGGGTCTGTTAGTTGTCAGGGCATCACATGGGGATTGGAGATTACAATGCTTTTTTGGGAAAGAGCTGACAGTAACTGTAACTCTGCAGAGCTGAAGGAGTGAAGGAGAAGGACTGGTAGAGATGAGTGTACGTGCAGAAGTCTGCAGTGATCAGAATGGAATTGGGCAGGAAGAAAGAAAGGCAAGGAGGAATAAAGGAGGAGAGGACAAACCAAGAATAGATGGATAATTGTAGAGATTATAAGAACAGAATAGATCCTTGCAGCTGTATAGCTTGCCCTTCCCTTTTGAGTAGACCCAATTTTTATGTAGGAAGACGTGGTGTCAGTTTGGTAATGAATCTGTAAGTTAAAGTAAGTGCAGTTGTAGTCCACAGAATATACTTTTGCTGTAAGTCAAATGCTGAGATCAATGCAGGATTTCCATTAAGGAATGCTTGAGGAATGGCACTGGACTACTGGAAATTGTATGCATCCCAGGGGTCCCAGTTTCCAAGATAAGTGAGAAACTTTGCCTAGATGAGCTCTCTCTGCTGAGGCAAGATGCAAAGACTTAACTGTGAATTTGGCATGTTTTTGACAGCATATGCATTTCTGTTTAAAGGTTGCTTAATCACTTTAGTTCAAATTGCTGGAATAAGATGACAACAGCATTACTTCTTGTAATTACAAGTAGTACCTTGGTGGTGCAATACCTTTTACTATGTTCTTTATTCTCCAGAACCAGCTTCTAAGGCACGTGAAACAATTAAGTGTTTTTATCACATGGAAGTCTTGCTGGTGGCTTGAGTTTTCGTCTGTCTTTCATCCTTTTTTGATTCAGTTGCTGTCACTGCCTGTTTCATACCATATTCAGGCACAGCTTCATAGTTACAATCCCAGTGAGATTATGTAAATGGAGAGAATTCTCAGTTTTTTGTTTGAGAGGTTCGTTCTTCCTTGGTATATCACTTCTTATCGCTGTCTGATTTGATGCTTTTACCTCTTAGGGTGACCTCCACTGAAAAGAAACTGAACGGATTCCAGAAGAGCCTTCACAGTTCTGCATCCTGTGAGCTAGGGACAAATTCCACAGGTGAGTGCCAGTGCCAAAGACCATGCAAGTGGGGGTGGGCATGCTGGGATGCTTTAATCTTTTTCAAGAACTGGCGAGGAAAAAACCTTCTCAGCAAGAAGAAACACAGCTGCCTCCTCTGCATGTAATGGTTCCTAGGTAACAGTCTGGGTTCAGCTGTGCAGGGAATTTATTCTTTCTGGGTTTAAAAAAGGCTAAACAGAAGGGAGCAAAGGCTGAGTTTCATAGAGTTGGAAGAGGAAGATTCCTTAAAATATGGCTGGGGAAAAAAAAAAGCACCTTGGCTAAAATGGCTCCTCTTTGCTCTAGGCTTTGGCTCAAGATGCTCTGTTGTTTAAGCTTGGCCTGTAATATAGGGTTGGAACGTTCTTTAAATTTTTCTTCAGTCTTGCAGAAAAGCCCTGGACTTCAGAAAGACATAGCTGAGACTTGTGAGTCAGCTGCATAGTGAAGTCAATCAGTAGAGGTGAAAGTTCCCAAAGGAAAATCAGAGACTTACAGAATCAAATCTTCATTGTTCCCTAGTGACTAATTAGTTCAAACAGGTTTATATGCTGTTAAGTTCTCAGCAAATGAGGGCCTAAATCCATTTTTCATTGATGTAGACCTGTTGGCAGGTCAAGTGTAGTCTTCAGGAACCCATATTATCCATGGCCCATAGTAATTTGTGATAGTGCTATAATGGAATATATGGACAAAGTATGTTCTAGAATGCTTTGAAAAATTGCATTTCTGACCTTTTGTTTTGCTGTGAAACCTCGAAAACATGACTTGAGTATCACTAATGCAGTGATCTGTGTATTTTCATAGGCTGAAAGAAAAGTTTTTGTAGGGGTGAACTACCCAGTTCATCTCTTGGATATTTATCTCTGAAATTTAAAGATTACATTTTCATTATTAATGTTGGTGATTTTATTGCTGATCCTTTATCTAATGCACTTAATGTACAGTTCCAAACTGACTCCCACACTTTACCACCTGGCAAAAACTCCTACCATAAATTTTATAGGGTGAAGAGCCATAGTCAATAAAAAAGACCCAGTGGCACATTGGAACGTGTATTCTGGTGTATGATGGGATTATCAAAATAAATGAAATTATGTCAACCCTTTAGTATCTGTATAACTGAGGCAGAAGTTCTGGTCTACTATATAGCTCAAGTTGTTTTTAGTTCAGTATATTAAGTAAGGTTACAGACAAATTAGCAAGTAAATGTAAAAATGGAGTTCTCAATATATCGAAGAAACTTGTTTGTTTAGTTGACTTACAGGAAGGTGTTTTGTGCTGAATTCTGCCTTCTTTTTCACACTTTGAAGAGCACTGTCATAGTTGTTCCCCTGTAGTTTTAACTTTTGCAAGAGAATCTTTACATCTCCTTTGGGTACTGTTGTTATGTGTGTCCATGATAACTGTAAGTAGCATTTTGATGTCCTTCCCCATTTCTGTGAATATTTATTCGGTGCATGCATGAGGATTGTTGATTGTATTAATGCAGGAAGACAACAGCCAGAGCTGGAGAAAGAATATAATGTAGATAACAGCTACAAAGTTCAGGGTAGTCACCTTCTCTGTGAATACTTGTAATCCAGTGAGAACTGAGAACTTCAGCTCATGGTTTCCTCCTGTAGGACTAGACTTGCTGTACTGTACTAAACTTATCTTCTCTGAAGCTCAAACAAAGGGTTTAGCCTGCCATGTAGCTAAGAGTGTCAGGGCTTATATAAAGCCCTAGTTTGGCTAAGGGTAGGCTAGCAGAACCATGATGAGTGGGTCACTCAAAGCTTCCTTCTTGCCAGAAGAGGTATATAGCTGCACGAGCAGTGCTAAGTATTTCGATGATTAAGCTAACTAGAGCAGAATGTTTGTTCTTGGAAACTGGGGAATGATATTGTCTTCAGCTTTGCACCACGCCACTGGTATGTGTCAGAGGCTTCTGTGCCCAGTTTGTGTGTCTCAGAAACTACTCTGGTCCTTGCTGCAGGAACAGCTGTTTTTCTTCTTCACTCTCCATTGATTGCTTACTCTAGGGCCCCAATTTCCCCTCAGCAGCAGCTTATTTGGGGTTACTGTCTCACATGTATTTAGTATCCTAGATACCAACTAGAGAGGTTGGACATACAAATCATAAAGAATAAACTGCAAGCATTTAAAGATAGAAGGTTCTGAAAAGTTGCAGAGATAAAAGAGGAACCAGGCAGAACCTCTGTATAAACTCACACACAAATACTCAAAAATGTCTGAGAAGCTTGAATAGGCCTTCTTCTCTAACAGCCTATCTGAGAATAGTTGTAGGCCTCTGTGGAGAAGCAGCATAAAGGTGTCACAAGTCATCATCTAACCAAAAGTCAGGAGGATGCTCAACAGAAGAGAGAGTCAGGCAGTATGGAAACTTTTAACCAGATTATCCAAAAAACAGTTCACTGGTGGTTAGTGCTGCAACTGTAGAATAGCAGTTGTAGACACTTGTGCAGTGGACTCAAGCTCTTGAGGACAGATCCTTTGGCATAAACGGAGAGTAGAAGTCAGTGTGAATTCATTTTCTCAAGAAAGTGAAGGTCTAGGTGAAACAGATATAATTTTTCCACAAGAACTGAGGTTTTGAACAACTGTAAAGTAACATCAAGGAAGTTCTGTGGCTTATATAGGACCTCGTAGTTAGAAATTAATTATATTTATTATTTGTCCTTTTTGAAAATACTAACACAAAGCAGGTTTTAGGGAACATAGAGCGTGAAGAGTACTTTATGAAAACATAACAGCAGCCTCTCTGTTCCTGAGCTGTACTCTTGTCTGCAAGAGCCTGGAGACAAGAACAATCTGAAAGTATGGATAACCCTTCAGTGTAGTTGTGGAGTAGATGCACAAGTTGATTTTATCTGTTTTGAGGGTTTGATTCCTGTATGGGCCATTCACTTGATGATCCCTGTGGGTCCCTTCCAACTCAGAACGCGATTCTCATTCTCATTTGCAAAGTTAACAGCAAATGTTGAGTTGCTGTATGAGTGTTCTCATATCTATGTTCTGTCTTTAGGCTTTTCCCCTTCATTTCCTGACAGCTTCTTGAGAGTTTGGGAATTTTTTATTTTCAAACTTCAGAACACAGAATGCTTCTGGGGTTCTGTTTTGGTATGGTAAAACCATAATGCACTAATAGCCTATATAATAACAAACAAATATGAATCATGATTAAAACTAGGCAAGACTGATGCCTGGCTCCAAACTTGATAGGACTTTCACCTTTTCATACTCAGACTGATTAACAGTGATGCAGTTTTATTGTGCTAATGCTTATATTACTAATGACCATATAACTTTTCCACTGTGTTTGCTGGGAGGAGAGAAAAAACATTAGAATTACCGATTAGGGGAGGTAAAAATTGGTAATACGCATTTCGAGTTTGACAGCAGTGAAGACCCTTAATTTATGCAGGGTCTTGGATCTCTTCCTAGTCTGTTTTAAAACATGAGTCCAAAACTAATTTATTTGTGTTTTAGTTCCCTTGAGAATACATCCTACAAGTGAATGTCAAAACTCAGTCTGAAACTAGGGAGGAAACTTCTTGAGCTAGTTGGTATAGACTTGATTTTATTCCCTGTGATTCCTAGGTCTGTGTCTCAGCTTAGTTGCAGGGTGATGCACAGTTGTCTGTTTATTTTGGACATTCACCTGGCCTCCAAATCTGCATGAATGCCGAGTCCTGAAAGTATGCAGCTCTTTGAAATAAAGTGTAAATCCTTAAGGGCTTAAAACTGGATCCTGAACTGCCAAGAGACTAGTCGAAGAATATGGGGATTAATAATCTGGTTTGGAGCTGCTCCATGCAGAAAACAGGTTGCTGTTCTTTGTTTTCTCTAGTGATTTTCTTCTTTAGGCTAAGGTGGAGAGCAGTGTATGAATGCCATCCAAATATGATGAATGTACAAGCAGTGTTGTCCAGTACAGAGCAATGAATGGAGCCTGCTTGCAAACTAGTGACAGTAAGGAGAACTTTTGTACTTCCTCTTCTCACCATCTAGCATGCTCCAGATTTGTTTCCTTTTACAGAAAATCTACAGGAAGACTGTGTATTTCTGAAATTTTTTATATCCGAGATTACTGTATGGTCCTTCAAAAGAAGGTCATGTTACTGTATGTCTAGTTGTTGGAGATCTGAAATTGGAGTTAACGTTGGTTGTGCTAAGCCTTGACTGGCTGTTGTCTACCCTTGTCTACTGCTTGAATTAATATTATGCCTTAAATGCAGCCTCTTTTATGTGAGCCTAAGGAAAAAAAGAGATTAGTTTAGCAGGTGTGCAAAAGTACAAACTTTAAAATTGTTCTGCACCAAAAAAAAAAAAAAAGGCAAGTAAATACAGCAGGCATTTAAACAAGACACATACAATCACTTCATCTTGTTTGCCAGATCTAAACAGAAAAAAAATGCCTGGAATTTGGAGATTCTTTTATCACCCCATGTCTCTCAACTCTCTTGAATGACAAAGGGTAGGAATGGGACTGAATATGTACTGTTACCACTGTGCATGGCCTGTTTCAGACTCCCAGCCATTTGTTGCACTAGGGTGGAATTCTCAGCTGCCCAGCCTTGTCCAGGCTTCCTCAGCTTATGCCAGGTTTCCTGCAGCCTCAGAAGGCAGTAGATTGTTGAACACCAGTGTATTTATTTTTACATTGTTGCCACATTCCCAAGAAGAACCTTGGCTATGATTTCAGCTGGAGCAGCTGGGAAAAGAAATCACTCAGGTTTCTGCACAGCACATTGCTGGTACGCCTCCTCCGTCTCACTAATCCTGTTAATTCCAGTCTTCATTTGCCACCTTCCTGGTTCTCTCTGTTGTTGCTGTGACTGACTGCACAAGTGGTCTTCACTTTAAAAGGTGACCTTCAAATGGGCACCTCAAGTAACCTCTACCTCAGACTACTTGGGCATCTCAGGCACAAGATATCTTATGACACAGAAGAGCAACTTTTGATATCACCTCATTACTTTCCCTAGTCCAGGAATGGAGTAATGATGAGCTCTTTCACATAAATCCTTCCAGACGCACCTGTCTGGCTGAGAAGCCCTGGGTGGGTCACTGAAGAGGGAACTCTGGTGTCATATCCAGCACTTTGCATCATATTTTTCCGGTGCAGCCTCTCACCCTGCAGCCTTTCGTTAACAGTTAACATTCTGTCAGCATCTCTCTGTAGTGCTGTCTCCATGCAGAGAAAGGATTATTAAGAAACAGAATTGGTCCATTCTATCATATTTTGGAAAGCAGTAGAACCTGTGTTGAATCCTACTCTTGTGCCTCCCTTTTTGGGAGGGCAAAGAATCAGTCACAATGAAAGGATATTTAGTTTCACATTTGTTCTTATAATTATCTTCCTAAATCCATTGTTCTTTCATGCATCACCAAAACACCCTGGATCGTCTCTCTCTTACCCTTAATGACTTCCTCAGTTTTATAAAGGGGGCAAAGAGGAAGGGGAAAAAATAGTTCCTCTCCCTGCTTTAGTTGTTGCATCAGTCCCAGGTCAGATAATGACACACAAGCCTGTAGTACCAGATGGACCAGAAGGGAAAGGATGAGAGTTAAGAAAGACCTTCTCCTAACCCCATTTCATAATATTATTTGAAGGGGCAGGGAACATTACCTTATGACTAGCAATGAGCAAATATTGATGTTTCTAATCAGTACCTTTAAAATAGATACAAGTCATCAACAGGACATGACTATGTTTGAGTTTATCTGGTTATGAAAAACTCTATATGTCTCATTACATCTCAGCAGAGTGTAAAGTTCTGCCAGAAGCAGCATTCCAGGCCCTTCTCAGATGATGTTAAGACAGTAATGTCCAACTCAGCCATGGCCTCTCAGGTAGATCTGAGGGTTGGTGTTCTCTTCTAATGATCAGAAATTACATTTATTCCTTAACCTGTGAGAGCAGCCTGCCTCTCATACCTTTACTCACCCTTTTGCCTTTCTTTTATGAGAGGAAGGAGCTTTTTCCTGTTGCTACTGATCTCATGCCACTGAAAGGACTTTCCAAGTGTCAGGACTTCTGGGAAAGCAGGAGAAAAAGGAAAGAACAGTCTCTAGAAATTGGCTTCCTTGTTTAAGAACTAGAACCCAGCTTGAATTTTAGGATCCTTCACTTCTGACAGACTCAAAGAAAACTCTGAAGCAGGATAAGTAATGACTTCAGGCAATTGGCATTTTTGCCTGACTGGCGGCTGATCATTGCTTGTTCTCAGTAGTGAGGTTGTGACGAACTGCCTGTATTTTCTTGCTGTGTTGAAAATGTCATTCAAGACCAGGTGTGCAAAGACTGGGGAGAGGTTATATAATATCTTGGCTATTTCTGTCTCACATCTGGCCCTCTGGCATTAAGCTACCTATAGAGAGGATGATTTTGCCCATCCAAATTGGATTTTGTTTTAATCTGGCATTATTTTATTGAGAACTAAAAATAGAAGCCAAAATGTGTGTGAATAGGGTAAAAGGAGTGTCTGAAGTTATGAAATGAAATGTGGGGAAGAGCCAGAGAAAAGAGAACCACAATCCAGGGAGTAAGAAGGTGAATGAGAGATACCAGAATGAAGGCCATCAAGTACAGAAGGGCATTAGCAGTCAGGGTGTGTGTGTGTGTGTTAAAGACACAGTCTCTTTAAAATGGGAAGCAGGAAGGCTCATGCTGACTTCCACTGCTGTTTCTCTCTTGTCAATGAGTCTGCTCACTGCTCTTTTTGTACAGGTATATTTCACTGGAATACAGTTGTTTATACTGTTTGTGACAGTTGCATGTACTGTGTCACACACATATATCACGCTCCCCCTACACACACCCACACCTCCCCCCTCCCCGCCTCCCATGCCCCCAAGAAAATTTTCATGACTCGGACTTGCTTCTTTCTCTGGCCTGCCTGGTCCAGCAAGGCAGGTTGAAATTGTGCCCAAAATATGGGGGAGGGAGGGCTGGCTTTCTGTTGTCAGCTGTCCTGGCTTGCTAGTGTCAGTCAGTCATGGATATAAATAAACCCCATTTATTTATTGCCTTTCTTAGTTGCACTGTATATTATCAAGAGAATGCTGGGCATCACTTGGATTAGAAATTCCCTCTGCTCTGGGATAAAAAAAAAAATCTGAACTTCTAAGATAATCCTAGCTTTTCAGGGAGAAAGAAAGTTCCTGCTTTTAACATTTGGATTCATGAGACTTCAACATGCTTCTCAGTTCTCCCGCTAACTTTCTGCGGATATGATGAAACAGCCCAAACTAGCTCTTAAAAATATTAGCATGGGTTCCTGACCCAATACTATCATCTCGCCTAGTGCTCTGCTCTGTCTCATTCCTGCAGCTTGGAAGCACAGTAGATTAGGTGCTGGTGTGTGACCAAGGCTGTGTACATCTGTACTGGGGAAGTCTATATGGCACTGAATTTTAGTGTGCAGTTATCTCTTAAATGACTTTATACAACTCTTGTTAATGTAAATGACTTTACACAACTTCCTTGTAACTCAGAATCATATCCATAAAACTGAGGTAATCCTTCCCACTGTGTGACTGTTCTGAGTTTTTGAGGTGCAGTCATGTATGACATAATGATGTGTAAACACGTGGACAGACATATGGGCAGATACTTTAACACCTCCTGGCAGGCAGAGAATAAAGGAAATTCATTCTGTTGTACGTGGTGATTCACTGCAATAACTCTTATCACTGGAGAGAATCAACCCTTAATGTCGGCTTCTGTCAGGAATGAGCTTTTTCCCCATTCCACTTACTCAACCAGAAGAGGAAGTGAAATGCTCACCAGTAGCTTTGAAATTATAAAACTTCATAGAATTATATACAGTAATATTTATGAAATTATTGTATTGGCTGTGAGCTGCACTCATGTTAGGAACCTATATATTTGCTTATAGACCTAGGAATGCTCCTCTCTGTGCTCAGTCCTTAAGGCAGCCATACAAGAGCTCGAGCAAAGTGATTTTAATTCAGTTTGTGAGAAAAGACAAACTGTACTGTGCATTTCTGTAGGAATAGGAAAGCTCAAAAGTCTCTTCAAAAGAGGGAAATGAGGTTGAAGTTGGCTGCCTCTCATGTGCCTTTGTTTCCTTTATTTCAGCATATTGCCAAGGGATAAGTTTCTGGACTGGTATCCTATCTTAATACACATGGTTGACAGTTTGATTTCTAATTCAGTTTCCAAACTTTCTGTGCAGTGACATAGCTGGCAATCCTGCTTTCTAAACATCTTTCCAGGTCCTCTGTGCTCTGTGATGTTTGGCTCTGTGCTGGACTCTCAAGGAGAGTGTATTTTTTAAAATACAGCAATATTTTTAATAAACAGCTCTCAACAAATGTCACTTATGTTTAGGAGCAAGCCAATGTGCCAATACACGGGACAAGCTTTACCTACTAGATTAGCTGCAAAATGCAAACTGTCAAAAATAAACTTTGTACATTTCTAAGTGTTTTGGAGTTTTCTTTTTAAAGGACTGTCTAAGGATGTTTAAGTAAAAAAAGGTGAAGATGATATTGACTTTTCCCCATAACATGCCTAAATAGGAGAATGTTGCAGCATGTACAAGTCAAAAATATATCTTTATAATAACAGGAAGAAAAGTTTTTTTTCCTTATCCCCATTTGGTTTCTTTTAAAGATCAGCCTTCTCATACCCCCATCTCTCCTGCACCAAGGTCCTCAGCATGTGTTGGAGTGGGGAAGTAGACTCCCATACAAGGAAATGAGTAAAAGACCCAAAGAAAAAAGACAAAGCATACTGATGTGGGAGAAGGATTTAGAGGAGGATGCATGTGAATAGATGAGTCATGTGAGTCAGAAGCAAAGAGTGAAGAAGGTATTCTGGTGTTCAGGAGGAATACAAAGACTGTGTTTTCACACAGTAGCTTATGAAGTTAAGTTTTGTTATACTGAATTGTGGTCTCATCTATTAGGACAGAGAGGAGTTGTGTGATAGGGAGACCCAGATTTCTGGTGATGGCCGAGACGTGCAGAGCAGTACCGCAGTTTTTCCACACGTATCAGTCCTCCATGATTACTGAAAATCTTTGAGTAAAAAAACTTTGTTTTTTTCCAGCCTCTGCTCGCAGAGAAGGATTAACACACAACACCAGGTGAGGAATCCAGAGTGTTGCTTCAAGTATGGAGCAAAGGAAAAAGCAGCACTGACTTCATACCACCGCACTCCCCTAACAGCCAGAAAAGAGAGAAGAGGAGGCCTTGGTGAGAGGAAAACCCACTGAAGAGAGTACCTGAACATCTCTGGAAGCAGATTTTGGTGATACACCTGCACACTGAGGTGAATGATTGCCTCTGAGAGCTTCTGCTGCTGAGTCTTTGGGTCCCTTCCATCCACCTCTTTGTGATCACTAACTGGGAGATCTTTCTGTAAGACAAGAGATCTTTCCTCCAGCTGTTCTTCCTGAGGTCCAGGTTTGAACATAAAATCTCATTTGCTCAGCCATTTCAGTCTGTCCTGGTCTGGTAACAGCCAAGATTCTGTGCTTTCATCACATGGCAACCATCAGCAGAGAAAAATATTAGAGCATATGACTGGAGACATCTGTGTTTGTTACTGTCTTGAATTCTGGCACAGAACCATAGAAATGATCGGTTTGAATAAAGTAATTTCATTTGTTTGTTTTGGTTGTAATTTCAGTTACTAATTCACACCCCCAAAATATTTGTTGTCATTATACTGGACAGGATTTTAAATCTGTCTTTACATTTCACTGTTGGATGCTTCTGTTCTGTGTGGCTTATTTTTGTGTTTTGATTTCTGTTTAGGCTTTATAAACTTTTTAAATTGGCTGATATTTTCAGACCCGAGCTTGAACCCTAAGGCCCAGGTGGCTCTTATCAGTTACAGTAGTGGCTTGGTGAAGCACTCCAGTTAAAATTTGCCTAATGTTATGAAAATTAGTTTGCTTGTGTTAGAAAACAACATCAGCAGCTGGAAAACGTATTGGAGAGATCTTTAAAATGAACAGGAAGCAACTTCAGCTCTGGTTCTTTGTTAGTGCCCAGATAAAGGACAACTCAGTATTTTGCAATTTCTGCCTTGTCCAACACCAAGGAGTATAATTTCAATTCTCAAAGGGTACAGAATTTCCCTTTGCTTGTATCAGAGTCCTCTGAGATTGGATTCAACATCCTATTTGATCTCCTTTCTTATTCCACAGCTGCCCTGTCATTTATAGCCTGTATAGTCAGTGTTAAGAGATCATTCTAATGTGTTGGCAGGTAGATAATGATCAACTCAAAGGGCTGACAGAAGAAACCATGCCAGAAGGGGAAAGTATTTTCTCTTGAAATGATTGTGTTCAGGTCCACTCTTGGATTCTGCATATTTTCTGTCACTCGAGACCAGATAGATAGAGAGAAGATTAAATAATTATGTTCATACCCCACTACTTTCACCATCACTTGCTTCAGGCATGAATTCATAGGACAGAATGTGCATTTTTCTATTTCTGTTCCACTCACACATATGAAACACATTGAATACTTCACTTGTCCAAAATACAGCTCTCTGATATAGCTGCTTCCTTCACTGGCTTATCTTTTATTTCGATTAGACAGTCATGATCCTGTTCACTTTCTTTGCATTTTTTTCAGCTGTGTTCTTCATGAATCTCTACAGCACTTTTCTGCCTCCTGTGCTGCCATCACATATCATCACTGACCAAGAGATTTGTAAAATCTTGTGAAGTTACTTTCAGATCCTGTCCCTTCTGTCTGTAATCATTGAATTCCACCCATGGATCTCAAAGATAGATGTTTCTAATAATGGCCAGTCTTCGCAAGCGAAGATCCGGGGAAGGTCTTTACACCTTCCAGCCTGCGCATTGGATTTTTTAGGTGAGACACAGTGTGCGCGGAACTGAGCCCACCCTTTAATCCTAAGGTTCATCTGCCGGGGCCAAGCGAGCTTGGATGGTGGCAGTGAGGTCCTTAGGACGTAGGTGGGTTGCCTTTAAGGGCTAATGAGCCCCACCTGCCCGGGAGTGGCCCTGACCAGGAATCGAACCCGGGTCTCGGCGGTGATAGCGCAGCGCCTTTACCACTAGACCACCAGGGGCTCCAGATGTTTCTACTGGTGCATCAAATTGTTGGCTCATGATTAGTGAAATATACATCCTTGTGGAACTCTCTATGTCTGTTTTTGTTCTCTAGTTTGTTTTTTTAGGTTATCACAGTCGCCACTGAAAACTATAGAGGTGTTTGAAGGATAGAGATTTAAATGCAGTTAGCCCAGGAAAGGTGATTGTCTTATGAGAATTATTGGCAGAAGCAGCATTGTTACATCTTTGTCAAGAAAATTACCAATTAATCCTGACTTATTATGAACACAGGTTAATTGTTTTGCAGCTTTGCCAATCTCCCGCCCACTCATTTTGGGATAATGATTTGTACTTGGTTATAGTCATGTTCTCTGAACTTCTTTGCATTGCATGTTAGGTGTGGCCCACCCCACACCTCTAACTGTGATGACTTAGTAGCAGTACATCAAACATCCTGTCTCTAAGATTTTTTAAATATTCAGAAAAATGCACAGTGCAGTCTAAGACCATCATTTTGAAGGGACAAATGTTGTCAGCATCAGGAGAGTGAAGCCTTGCATCCTTTGCCCCTGGAAAATTTTTCTTCTGTTTCCAACAAATACAAAAAAACCCAGGGGTATCAAGACTGGTCGTTTACCTGAAGCCAAACACCTAGACTTTAAACTGCTGTTCATCCTCAGGATATGTTAGGGCAGCCACAGCATCAAAGGACATAGCAGTATTCCTTTACTCTGGGCATCTGCCGATCCCAGCTCTGAGCACAAACGCTGTTACATTGAGACCATGTGCAATAGAGAATCAGGAACAAATCTTGTGATTCCAGTCTCTTATTTTTTCCATCTCCCCATATTCCTCAGCCTGGAGTCCCTATATGTCTTTGTGCATGGTGAGTGCTGTTACTGAAAGATAACATATGATTTTGTCTCTTCACAACTCTGCTACCTCCATGTCTGTCCCTTTTCAAAAACCTCTCAGAGCGTGCTTCAGTTAAGAGATTCAGTGGGAAGGCATAGAACTGTTTCCCACACAACTTGGGAGAGGAGGCATTTTACAGGAAGTGTTTTCTAGTGCAAGGGTGGAAAGTAGAATAGCAAAGCATTTTAGATTTATAATAGTTGCACAGGGGAGTAGAGTTATATATGTGTTCCTCAAGTGCAGATTATTTTTCTCTTCTTTTTTTGATACTTACTTCCCTGTATTCATCAATGAGTTTCATCAAAAGTGCCTTTCTTTACTGTGAGAGAAGAAAATTACCAGTAGAATGCCCCAACAGTCATTCAGAATCTGGTTCAGTGGTGACATTGAATAATGTAATTGAGGGATTCTCCTCGTCTGTGATGTTTGCATCACTTCTAATGTTCTAATGACAGAGAATCAGTCTTGAAAGGAGTAATGTGTACATCAGAGTCCTGGAGGCTGAGACAATGCAGAGTTCATGCAGCATCTTGTGCTGTGTTTAGCTGATGAGCATACTACAACATAAAAATTAAGGGAGGAGTATTAGATTCTCCTCTCCAGAAGAGCTGACTTGTACTCAATACATGAAGTATTAAGTTCCCTTTTACATGTTTTATCTTGGCCTTTAAAACAGGCTCACAAGTCATGTGAATGACACCAGTGGGAGAACACATGACATTAGATAGACCACTTAGTCTTGGATGCCAACAAGACATAATAAAATTATCTAGTCTTGAGAATAGAATGTTTTTGGACAATCATGGTTTGTTGGAAATGCTCCTCATTGTGATGCTTGAAAGGTTGATATACATATCTCCAATGCTGGCTCCACACTGTGAAAGGAGGTTTTGGTATCAAGACCTTTGTTTATTAATAGGAATTTCAGTGCTGTGTCTCTTCTTCATACCAAAATACGGAGTCTCAATATGCATGGAGTTGAACGGCTGGCAATGATAGACCATTCTTCTTCTTTGTCTGTGAAGGAGATCATTGACTTACAGATGACTTAACAGAACATACTTGGATTCTCAGCCCTCATTCTTTCAGGCCCATACCTTGTACTAATACAACAGTTCCAGTAATTTTGAATTATTTGCTGGAAACAAAATAGTCTGGCTCCTGACTTATTTTTGTAAAGGTTTACTTGATAAAACTGCCAAGGACTTTTTAACTCAGTCAGTCCTACATTTGCTGCTCGCAATAATCCTGGGCTCACTGTTTAAATCTGGATAGGTTATTTGCTGGTGTTTAAATAGTTGGATTTTTGGTGGCAGTGAATGGCTGATTAATCCTCTTCATACTATTTCCTTTCTGAATGCATTATTCCTGTGGATCTGTCATAAGTTTCTTCCAAAAGAAGCTTCTGAGGCTTTACTTAAATATGGGACTTGAATTCCTTTTCTTCTTTCTAGAACCTTATGTTTCTAGAGCTGAGACATCCTTGTTTGCACCAAACATTGGGAGGCCCTTTTATAGCTTTACAGAATTGAGGTTGCTTATACCAAGACCTTTACATTCATAGTTCTCTTCATGCAGAAAGTGGTTAATTGGAAAAGAGATGGGCAAGGAGGAATGTAAGGGAGCTGAAAAAGGAATAATTGCTTACAATCATGTCCACTAGAAGTAGGACCATCAAATGAAACTAACAGATATAAACTTCAAAGGAAAAAGAGAAAGGTGGGGGAGAGTGGCAGCTCTTTTTCACAGAACGTACTTGACCTGTGATACTCCTTGTTACAAGACGTGAATACAAAAAGGCCTATGTGGTTTGAAAAGTAGACAAATCCATGAAAAAGTACTCTATTAGGGCATATTCAATATTAAAACTGAAAAAAAACAAGCAGGAAGTTTCTAAGACATTTCAAGTGACTATTCTAGGGAAGTCTTACAATGGGTTTTTCTGATTTTTAGCTTATCTATCAGGCGTGGGCTGTTGATCACTGCTGAGAGCTGGGCTAGATGGTCTTTGCTCTGACTTTGTATGGATGTTTTATTTTGACAGTTGCAGTACAGACTACTAGAACAGCCAAGACAAAGCTACCTTCCATGACAGTGGCATGTTCCACCTGACTTCACTCTGTGGTGTTGAGTTCCCTAAGAAAAGTCTCCCTTGCTGGCATCTGCCAAGTTGTCACATGCAGCTTGTCTACACTTTCATCTGGTTGGGCACTAGATATTGCAGAGCCTGTCAGAATGATGAAGCTTTTAAAAGAGCATAAAGGACAAGAAGGTCCACCTGTAGGCAAATTGTGATTCTGGTGGAAATTAGGTTGCTATATGGAAGTCATCCATAATATGATGTTTGCAAATGGTTAATCACATAAATATGAAAAAGAAAATACTTTCCAGTAACTGAAGCTCTTAAGTTATCTTATTCATTTACATTTAATTTCTTGCCATCTTTGTCTTCCAAAGAGCTCAAGTGCAGAGCCACCTTCAAGGTGAATGTGCACAACCACAACACACAATCTGGTAACTGGTTTCTTCCCACTTTAGAACATGCTGTCTTTTCCCCAGAATGAAGTATCCCTGATGACTTAGAGATGAGCAGTTAGGAAACACAGACTGATCTCAAAACTGTTGGATTCTGAGTCTCCCTGTGTAGTTGTAATGCAGGAGGACAAACTCCACTGAACTAAAGGTGAGAAGACACCAAGTCTGCCCTGAAGAGTCTGCTCTGTCTGTTACCTTAACAAAAAAGGATTTTAATGGCCCTCGTTGAGAAAGAGTTTTCACTGCTGTTTCCAATTTAAAGGAAAGAATCACTGATCAGTATGGAGACCCTGGAGTGAAGCCTTTGCCAGTGGTATTCAGTGAATCACAGTGGTTCCCTAGGGAGAAGAGTATACTTAACAGGGCCTCTTCTCTACAGGTTCATGCCTACAGCATACACAATGAGCTTGGGAAATCTTATATTCTTTGAAAAGAAGTGGCTTGTTTATCTAAGCTCTCAGACAAACAAATCGGCCTTAAAAAACCAAATTTGATGTAATCATTAAGAATTTAGGGGCTGTTAAAGATGCATCTTTTATTAACAAGATTTTTATCATTTGTTTGAGGCAGCTGAAAGAGGTGCTGTTATCTCTAAAAGCAATTTCAGCACTCTGCTTAGCTTTTGCCTGCTCCTGTTCTGATATGCAGCAGAAGACAACCCCAGAACATTTGTTCAATCTGGTGCCTCTGCAAGAGTATTTTATAAAATCTTATTTCACCATAGTTATAGCAGGGATAAAGTGTAGTCTCTTTCCTGCACACTAAGAGGAGACAAGTTACTGTACTTAGTGTAGTTATGTTGAAAATCATAAAATCTCCCCAAAATATGTTTTGGGATGATTGAATAAATCCCTGTGTCTTGACTACTATCATGTCAAAAGTCAGGAAGGAATCTTTGAAAAGTTCCTGTACTGCCAAGTCCAAACTGTCACTCCCTTGTTTTCCTATAAAATTGTGTTTTTCCTGAGATTGGGAGGAAACATGACAAGGGATTTTTCCATATTGTTTCCAGTAATTACTGCACAGGGTTCACCTCATGGATTTCAAGTGGTTTTGCCTTATTTATATGATCTTCTGAAAGGGTCATGTTGTGTCAGATACATTTAATATAATGTATTTAATACATCTAGGATGTCTGCCATTCTTCAAGGTGCAGATGGACAGCTGTCAATCTGCTGGCAAGGTAATGAAGTTGTAGGCATCCCACTGGTGCCACTCGTTACTTTTGCTTCCAGTTGCTCCCCCTGTTTAAATTGGGGTTGTCTGCCCTCTTCTCCATGTGTCTTCACCACCATTTCTAATTCCAGAAATTCAATGTGGAATACATTTTGTCCATGATACCAGCTAGGAATCTTTTTTTCTTGTCCACAGACCTACAAAACTTAGGCCTCCATATGTTTACTAAAAATTTCTTTTGAAAAATATCTAAGAATAAAGATTGTTGACTCTTCCTGCCAAATCTTGGCCCAGCAAGTTTTTTAGGTCTTTTACATGATGACTTGGCTGAAGGCAGGTGAAATGGATAAAAATTAGGACAATATAAAATGTGTTAGCACATTGTAACTGTTGCCACACCATACTTCCCTGAGATTTTATTGCCATCTCCTTTGTTTTCTCTTTGTTGTTCTGTTCATTTGTTTCTAGTTCTTCAGATCAGCATGATAGAGCACTTAGCATGGTGGTGTCCAAATGAGATCTTCAGATCCTGAACCATACTTAAGAAATTTCTGTAGCAAGTCTCCAGATGTCAAATTGTGTCATGCAAGGCAGCTTGTTGCAAGCTGGGTGTCTTCCAAAGACTCTTGTGAGTCAGATTTGTCTGCTACTGCTTTCCTCCACAAGTGGAGTTTCTTACAAATCCTTGAAAACAATGGATATCTCCGAAGCATCTAGCCTACCTGCAAGAGGCCTTCAGCACTTCAAAAGACCAATTTTTTGTTTGAAGAAAGGACCAGAACATGGTTACCAAGACATTCCCCAGTCATTACACCATGTGCATTGCACAAATCCTGTAAGATTTGCCCCTGGCTGAACAGCAAATCTTTGTTTTGTCTGCTTCCTGAAGAGGATAATAACTTCAGAAGAAAAAAGAAATCCTTCCTGAAAAATGGCAGGAAGTCTCTGGTTTGACATCACCCAGCTGGCTTCTTTCATCAAATGGTGTACGTGCACTGACCATGGTATATTATTACAATGCCTCATGCTGATTTCTGTATCTGATGAATGAGTATCTAAACAGGTAGTGAGAAATGGCTGACTGTTGGCAGACCAGACAAAGGTCTGCCAAAAACCTTTGCTTTCTGCAGCAGGCCCAATACCTACTTGTTAATTATTTCTTGCATTGGTCTCTATGGTCAGCAATGAGGTATCATCTTCCTTTTTTTCCCTCACAGCTGAAGGATGGGATGCCATCCAGAAGACCTTGACAAGCTTGAAAAGTGGGCCCATGGGAATCTCAAGAGTCTTAACAAGACCCAAGTATAAGGTGCTGCACCTGGGTCAGGGCAACCCCTGGTATCAGTACAGGCTGGGGGGTAAATAGATTGAGAGTGGCCCTGCTGAGAAGGACTTGGGGATGCTGGTGGGTAAGAGGCTGGACATGACCCAGCAATGTGCACTTGCAGCCGTGAAAGCCAAAGATATCCCGAGCTGCATCAAAAAAAGTGTGGACAGCAGGTCTGGGGAGGTGATTCTGCCCCTCTACTCCATTCTGTGCTGTGTCCAGCTCTGTGGTCCTGAGCACAAGAAGGGTATCAAGCTGTTGGAGTGAGTCCAGAGGAATGCCAGCAAGGTGATTAGAGGGATGGAGCACCTTACCTATGAGGAAAGGCTGAGAGAATTGGGTTTGTCAGCCTGGAAAAGAGACAGCTTAGGAATGACCTAACTGCAGCCTTCCAGTACCTGAAGGAAGCCTACAAGAAAGACAGACAGGGACCTTTTACAAGAGTATGTCACAAAAGTGACAGGATAAAAGGGAATGGATTTAAATTAAAAGAGAGTAAGTTTAGATTAGTTATTAGGAAAACATTCTTTACTGTGAGGGTGGTGAGGCACTGGAACAGGTTGCCCAGAGAAGTTGTGGATGCCCTGTCCCTGGAGGCGTTCAAGGCCAGGCTGGATAGAGCTCTGAGGAACCTGGTCTAGTGACTCCTGCCATGGCAGGGGAGTTGGAACTGGATGATCTTTAAGGTCCCTTCCAACCCAAACAATTCTGTGATTCTATGATCCTGCCTAGTCAACTAAGTGGAATGAGAGACAAAGAATATCACCCTGCACAAAGACCACTACGCCTCTGAAAGGGGGAGAAATCAGTCTTTGTCTTCAGAAGGTACCACTTGAAGATTGGTATTCCTGGGTAATAGTTCAACAATACCAGCATAAACCATAAGGGACAGACTTTCTGCCTGAAAGCTGTTCACTAAGTATGCAGGATGTGGGAAACTAATTATGTTATGGGGTTTTTTTTGCCACAAACCACAGCTGTAAATAAACTTATTCTGTACTAGCTAGAAAGGTCCTTATCCCTAAGTGTATTTTTCTTCAAATCATACTGGGCCCACTATGGGGCCCACACTCTCCAACAAATGCTTGATTGAATGTCTTCAGACCATCATCTTTGCATCTTCCCAAAGCAACCTAGCCCTAGATAAGGGTGTTCTAAAAGCAGACGAATAACTGAGGTCTGTAATCTTGGAAATTGTTTTTTCCTGGAAATACACTGTGACATCTGTGACACACTGTGAAGCAGTGCTGTACCACATTCTTTCTGAAATTATGGGCATTAGTGGCATCTCAAATGCATTACTATCGTTTAGGTAATGGCAACCATTAATTAGCAATCTTCATTTGCTGTATTTCTTGTTGCTGTACCAGAATTCATTTCTAAGACAGTCTATTTTCCAGTGAGTAAACTGTCTCATCTCTTCTACATTGACTTGTTGCATGACAATGGATCTTGCGTTTGTACAGGGCATCTGAAGCCTCTCTTCAAAAAAGGACAAGAGACACTGAACTTAGTTGCTTCCATCTTAGTTGTTTCCATCTCTCACTTCTGGAATTGCATCAAAACTGAACCAGAGTTTAAATGACTTCCTGTATACAAAAGAAAACATTGGTAAAGCAGAGATCTGAAAGTCCAGGTGTTCTTTTGCTAAACATAATAATTTTATATAGCTTTTAACCATATATAACTTTTTTCTAGTGGTTCTGAATGTAAAAGTAAAAATTTAATAGATGTTATCTTTAAAGAATTAGAAGGCATATTTTCCTCCTTGTGCTATATCAAAATTGCTGCTGTTACTTTAAACCACAATTCAAGTTTATAGTCAACCCATAAAACCACAAATTAGTCTAGTTTTGCAAGTGCGTAGATAGAGCGCTGCTGTCTCTGTATGTATTGAAAACTTTATCCTCTTGGTTGATTTCATTGTCTTTCAATCACCTATTAGAGAAGACAAGCCAGTACTATAGATATGATGTTCTGTATGCCATTAAAAACACTTGGAGTGGACAAGAAGCCTTTTCTGCACAATGGAGCTGGCCTTAGAGCTGCACCCTGGTCACGCTGTGATACTGAACCTGCCCTGCGTTGGATCTGAGACCATACTGAAGATGTCTGCCTCCTGACACACTGCAGTGGATCCTCTTCTGTCGTGGGATGGCTGTAGTGATTTCATTTGCTCAGTAGTCTTGAGCCAGAAGACCTGTATATGCTCTGATGAGGACACTCTAGTCACAGGTAAGGAAACCTTCAGAGCAACGCTGAAAGGTAAGGATGCGTGAATGGAGAAAATGAAAATTTGGCAGCTACAATAGAGGGATGTGAGACAGGACTAAGCAGAACAGAGCTATGTTATTGCCAGAGTAGTGGACAAGTATATTTGTCCTCTGTATCTTATATTACTTTTGGGCACAGTCCATCTTTTTGACTGAGTGTATTGATGTATGTTGGTTATGGAAAGCAGCATATCTCAGTTCACACAGTGGCAACAGGGATGTGCTTTATGTAAATGCAGTGAGATAGCTAGAGATCATCCAACCCAAAGACCAGGGACACATTTAGTGTGCAAAGACTGTTCTTTGCTGAAGTGTAAGTGTATCTTCCTGTACTCACTGAAACAGTGATCCTCTCTGAGGTCTACAATACACTACAGCCTGAAAAGCAAGGTATAAGCCTTTTACATGCTATAATAGTTTGCCACAGAGAAACAGGGACTACACAGATGGTGGTTTGATCATCTGTGCAGGATCTGCCTTATGGCACTACAGAATAGGTTTTTTTCACTCTTTCTGACCATTGATCTTTGTTAAAGAGACAAAGTGTGCTGGGCTTGTTTTCATCGGCTTTTGTTTGTTTCTGCAAACAAAAAGGGAACTGTTGAGAGCTGTATTCAGTGTTGGCAATGAAGATCCCACTTTTTCTTTCCCATTGTCTTCTTCAATTTGCTAGCTAGTAACAGCATATAGAAAATTGCCCTCTGCCTTCTCACACAATTGTCCTGAAACATTTTGGTATGCCTGCACCCAGAAGAGTATTCAATCAGTTACTAAACGCCATGTAGCTAGTACAGTTTGTTGCTGAATTATAGCTAGAACACCCCTAGAAATGCTATTTTAATTTTAAGAAAATTATTTTGGAGCCTGTCTTACAAATCTAATTCTCAAATGTTGCTAGGGAAACAGAAGGCTGGACAGAGAAGCAGTAACTGAAACGTGTCTGATTTCAAAGATTACTGTAGCCATGAGTGTACTTGTGTCCACACCGGTTGGACACACCAACACTCTTCTCCCCAATTGCCATTTTGCCTCTTGTCAAGAGGCAAAAGGCTTGATTCTTCTGCCACCCCTTCCTGCCACTGAGGAACAGCAGTGAACAAAGGCCAGAAAGACAAACCCACCCCAAGGGGCTGACAGGCTTAATCCGTGGGTGATTCCAATGTGTTCCAAGTGCCATGTAGGACTTTCAGCTGTGCAAGTGTTCTAGCTCAACCCTTTGCGGCTCCCCCTCCCCATTTGTTTGGGGTTTTTTCCCCCACTTTACTATCAAGGAAGCCCTTCAAGGGGATGGGGAGCAGAGCCAGCCCAGGGTTCAGGAGGAACAATGACCAAAATGCAGCTTGTAAACCAAAACCTCCCTAGGGGCTGCTACTAAAAGGAGATCAGAGAGAATTCCTATGCCAATAGGCATCTGGATTTTCTCCACCCCCATTGCAGCCACTAAATTTCTGGCCTATCAGCATGGCAGTGTAGTTGTAATATATTTATTTGATCCCTCCTAAGCAGGTGGCAGGGAAGCATGGGCATGAGGGCTGTATAGGGCACAGCCAATACCTGCTGCAGGACTGATCAGAGCCGCACCTTTCATCATCACACCAGTGACGCGGGTCAGGGAGCCTCAGAGAGATGAAAGGGATGAAGCCAAGTGTTGGGGAGCGCCTCTGTCAGAGCATGTGTGCCCCAGCCAGAACATCACATGGGTTGGCAGGCTCCCTCCACTGACCCACCCTTGCTAACCTCTAGCCAGCGGGTGATAGTGCAGGAAGGGTTGTTTACAGTTTAAGACGTTTGAGTTTACATGTTATGGCAGCCTCACATGCGGTATTAGGAAGCAGCCACTATTGTGAAGGGCTTGATGGAAGAGCTGAATTTATGAGCTGACCCTGGAGAGCCCTGGCCACAAGCGATTAACCAGCTAGGTGTCATTTTACACTCAGTTGCTGGGGACCAGGAATTGGGAGGGGACAGGGAGGAACCTCTGTGGTCTCTAGAATATGACTGTGTAGTTGTAGTTTGGGGAATCAGAGACAGCCTCTGAGTCTCATGTGGCATGCAAGCACCAGAGATTTTTACCTCTGGGAGTATCTATGGCTGAAAAAGCCCATTTAAAAGAGTACACTGATTTCCTGCCTGGGCAACATGTGTCATCTTTTTTATGAGCATCTGGAATGTTCATGGTACATGAGGAGGAAGGGTGTGTATGTACAGGTCTATACTGGCAGACCATATATATTCAAATGGACATAGGACATTTGTCAGCTGCACCACCCTGGGTATTTAAACAGTATTGTTGGAAGTGTTTTACATTTGAAGGGAGTTTTATATGAATCTATCAAAAGCAGATGCCAGAGGTAATATACATGTCTGAAGGACTAGGGTGAGACAGGGCACATATACACCAGGCACAGTTTGAGGGTAACAAGGAATTTCCATACTGGGATTCTCCTGCCAACCTAAATTCTATCTGTGCCTTTGAAGAGACATTTTGGAAAGGGCAAAAACTTTTGACTGAGTATGTCACAGTGGTAGCACTTTAAAAATGGCAAATCATCTAACTCTCCAACAAACAACTTGCTTGTGGAAAAAATTAGCATCTCCCCCCAAAATATTTATTTTTTGCAAAGTTTTTGAGATTACTATTTTTTAAGTCTTGGCAGGTGAAACCTGGGTCCTGTTCAGGTCATCATGCAGAACAGGTGCAGAACACCCCAAAGCACCTCACAAACCACAACAGACAAGAGGTCCTCAGGGTATGTCAGATCACAAATGAATGGGCCCAATATTCAGGTACCCACAGGTATTGCTCCTGCCTGACCCGAAACCATCTCTTAGAAACTCCAGGAAGGTGAAAGAGCTGAATGGAGACACCAGTCCCTCTGAAAATGGACTCAGCACCCTCTTTCCTTGTATTTGCCCACCCTCAGTAGGCTGGCTGGGAGCCTTGCAGTTTGCATTTGGAAACCAATAGGCAGGATCTGTCAACTGAACTTAAGAGGTCTGGCAGGCATGGTTTCAGTTGCAAGATTCTTGGATCACAGCTCTGAGGAACAAAAGTCTTAAGTGTATCTCTTGAGCGTTTCTTCTCTCAGCAGCTTTCCATCTTGGTGCATTTGCCTTCTCTAAAGAAACTTGCAAGGTTTCCTCCAACAGGGAAAACCTTTAGTACTTCAGGCCAGCAGGGAGGGCTGAGGTCTTAAGACAGCTAAAGCTAGAATAGAAAACATCTCCCCATTTCCATTCCCCCTTGCACCTGCTTTTTCATTCTCTTGTTTTCCCAGCTCAACCACCCAGCATTCAAATACACAGCAGTTCCTTCACCTTATCCTTCACTTCCGCACCAACTGTCCAGCCATTTTGGAGAGCGTGGCCTTTGTGTCACCAAAGTAACTCCTAGAAGGAACGCTGCACTGCCAAGACAACCAAGAAGTGTTCCAGAAGAGATCCCCAAGGGCTGCCAGACTTTACAAGCCACAGGATTTGGCACTTGGCCCTCAGCATGCATAGTCTCTGACCCCCAGTTCTCTTTGTGTTAGCCTGGGAGCAGGAGAGTGGGTGCTGACAGTTTTTCTCTTGGCTTTGGGTTGGCCAGGGGGCCTTTTCAGCTGCACTTGCAGGATTTCACCACCATGTTGGAGAGCTGCTCCACTTTGGGGGTCCTCCCAACATAGTACAAGATAGTGAGCGGCTCCAGGTCCTGGGGCACACAGCAGGGTGAAGCAGATGCCTCAGGGTTCAGCGTGTTGTATAAACCCAGCACCTGCAGAAACAAAGTAAATGTGGTGACAAAGTCAGGAATATGTTTAAGTTAGTTGAGGACAGGACGGGGCTGCAAAGTCAATAGGCCTCCAGGGGTTTGGACTATGCTCATCAGAGGGTATTTCCCTGAATTGAGGAATACTCCCCCATCACTTCTTGATCATGGTCTGCTTCTAAAGGGTCTCACCTGCCCTGGCCTGACTTTTACAACTTTGTTTATTAACTGTAACAGCCTTGCTCTCTGTGACTGATGCCTAAGGGTTGAAGGAGTATAAGTAGTTGTCTCCTTTCATCTCTAATTTGGTACAGCAGAATGTCACAATTTTTGCTTTTAACAAGGCTGGGTGTAACCAGCCTGGGGCCACGTTTTCTTGGATTCTATAAAGAAACCAGAAGAAAGAGTGTCAGTGCTGCTTATTTCAACCAGCATCTCCAGATAGCACTGGATGGATGCCAGTCCTCTCAAGTATCCACAATTCCCTCCCAGCTTTGAACTGTCTGATGCCTTCCCCCTCCACTCCATCCTCCAAGTCATTACACTGTAATGCTGGAGCCAGGAGAGTGTCCTGTGGGACCCCACTGGATTCTTCCTCCCAGCTGGCCCCAGCCCACAGATGACTGTACACTGCAGCCATGTAACCACTACAGAGCAGTTGCCATGTTTCTTGCCAGAGGTGACCATTTCTCTGCAGTAAGCAGCAGTAAGCAGCTTCTTGAGTTGTGGGGCCAAAACATGATCTCACCTGCTCTACTGTGGTCTCTTTAGTGCTTATCTGGTATAAACGACAGGGTCTGGCACATTGTATTTTAACTACTTTACAGTCTTTGGGGATGGGAAATGCTAAGGATACATCCTGTTCTATCATCCAGATCCATGTAATCACAGTTGTGGTAAAAACTCTCTGGGATAATAAGCAAAGTACCCCTGGCTATACCACATGCTCTGGGGTTACTCTACTCAACAGCGGGTTAAACAGACTGGTGAGAAGTCTTCTTTTCATCATGTTCTTCCTAGCTGGTGCTGGCAAGCTGTCAGCCACTATATTGTTCTAAAGGTTTCTATAATCACTTCACTGACCTTAATGCTTGATTGTTTCCTTTCTTGCTCAAGAACAGAACATTAGGAACCATCCTAAAATCTACTTTCTCTCACACTGATTCTGGCCGGTTATCTACTAGAGAGCTTCTCAGGACAACCAGATGGTAAAGCTACATGCCCATTACCCTTTCAAAGCTGTTCATTCCCTTGCTTTTTCTTGTGCTTAATGCCCAGCATCTGTTCACTCCTTCTTTCCCACAGATCAGCTGTTCCCACTGATATTAGTCCTTGAGCTTCAGTGAACCTTACTGCTGTGCAGACTCTCAAGCTGTCAAGAACATGTTAGCATCTCTTCTGCAATATCATCTTTACCTAGTCATCCATTCTTCAGCTGAATCTGCTTTTTCCAATAACTCTTTTAGTGAAATCTGAAGGTAAGCTGCTAGTGAGCTGTTGTATTATCTGGATGGCTGCCTTTTCTCTTCTGCAGGCAGCAGCACAGGATTTTCCTCTGGCTTTTCCTGCTTCAGCAGTGGACTGTCTGATCCTTAGTCTGTCTTCTTCTCTTGATACTTTTCCAATGCCTGTGCTTTTCTGTTGCTTTTATTTTCTTCCACTCTAGCCAGGCTCAGATTGTATTCTTCCCAAAGACTGACCAGTCTACTCATGTTAAAGAGAGATTGTGTGTAAGTTACCTAAAGACATTGCTTTCTGACAGTTTTTTCTCACAAATCTCACTGCTTAGTAGGTTCTTCCCTGCTGTAGGTCAGGTATAAATCCTACTGGAAAGGACACCTGTGCAGAAAGGAAATCTTACTGAATGGTTGTGTTCACGTCTAGACAGGGACATGGATTTCCCTTCACTTTCGGGCTACAGCTGCCCCTGTGATAGTAGATGGTAGGCCTGTGCCACTGCACAACAGTTTTGCATTATAGCCTCACACAGAGCATAGAGAAATCCTCTATTCAGTGCAAACTGCAGGAAAAAATTAGGCAGAATTGATGTTTGATGTGAACAGTTCAGTTAATACTGTGGCCACTGCCACATAAGTACCCTAAAACCATCAGTCCTGCTGTTTCACATCTTATCCAAGAGATAAAAAACAGCATCCTTCTCCTCAACATTTGCCTGAAAGCTCGTACTCAGTATTGACTCCAAAGGAAGCACATTCTCCCTCCTGAACCACCTAGGCTTTTTTCTGCAGTTTCCTTGGAATGGTTTTTACAAATATTGATCTGAACTGCTTTTGCTGCTTTGAAGAGACTAGATAATTGAACAGACATAGGGAGGAAGGGGGAAACACAGCCATAAGCCTTGACAGGATAATATACAGGATGTACCGTGCTGTGAGTGGTGTCTGCGCTGCGGAGGTACGGACAAGGGCCCGAACAAAAGTTAGCAAAGTAGCCCTTAGGCTCATGGACCCACTTCCAGCCAAGGTCCTGTCGGAAGTCAATGTACAGAGGGCGCACGCAGCAGTTCTCCTCCAGGTTCCTGAAACACAGTATTGGAACACAATGAATGCAAATGGGGGCCTTATATGCGACTGCAAGATGCAGCTTCCCAAGCAGAAGGACAAGTACCCAGTGGGACATGGTGTTTGCGTGCGCCAAGTGCGGAGGAGTGGCACAGGCAAGTGGTAGTGGGGCAGCTCAGCAGCCTGGCACAGCTTGTGCCTGCTTGCCCACCACCCCAGGGAGGCAGCACCCAGCTGCTCTAGCAACTAGTAGGGCGCTACTACAGATCCCTGCCCACACAGGGCTCCAGGAAGGTGCTTGCAAGTCTCTTTGATCCAGAAGCACATTGCAACTCTGCTGAACTGGCCAGCATCCCTTTCTTGGACACCACGGGAATAGCTGGCTGAGATGTGCTCCTTATGTGGCCCTTCTGGCACCATGGTGACACACAACCCCCTTGGGAGAGCTCTGCCTTTCCTGGAGGCATGGAGTCTCACCAGGCTTACCCACCTCAGGCACAGGATCCAGGCATGATTCTCACTTACCGGAAACAGTAGTTGGTATCTAGGGCCCGTTTCTTTCTCTGGCCTCCCAACACTGGGCTCTCCAGTCGATGTGGGGGTAACATCATCAAGATGAGGTGGGGATTATGCAAGTCCTTCTGCTTCTTCAGGCGGCCCAAGTCCCCACGGCCATAGTCATCCTCACTGTCAATGCCTTCAGAGAAAAAGAGGATCCACAAAAAAGAAATCAGCATGGAAGTGGAGGATGCAACAAGACTTTTCAATGCTTTTAACACTCTCTTGAACCAGATGAAAGGGATTCAGGCACCATGTCCACTTACTCTGGGACTTCTTCCCTCACAGGGAACCCTTTTATTTCTGGTGCATCTGACTGCTGCAGGCCTGAAGTAGAGGCTTACAGGCCACCTGTTTTACCATTTGCAAACTGCTGGTGGGGCCATTAATCCGTCCCACTCACTCCTGGCTTTGGTCCCAGGACAGGCAGAAAGATGAATGGTTTAAAGAAGATGTCAGATAATTGGCACTCGGCAGAACAGCCTCAGAAATTAAGCCTGTGGGGGCCAGTGGCTGCTGCCCAGGGCTGCAAGCCAGGAGGTTCCTAGTTCTTAGGCCAGCCAAGCCACTGACTCTCTGAGCCACCTCACACAGGATGCCTAACTTCCGTGTGTTTCAGTCACCCTAACTGGAAAGCAGAGCCTCTGTGGAAACCTGAGAAGGAACCAAGCTGAACTTCCCAGAGAGACACTGAAATACAAAATTATTCCTTTCTGCAGACACTCGAGCAAGCCCACTCAACCTGCTTTTACTTTCTTCCTTTTGTAACCTATGTATATAGTGGATATGCCCATATAATGAACATGCAAACCCGATGTGTATGCTTTAAGACGTTAGAAAATGTAAAATGCTCAAATATGCAAAGCAAGACCTCTTTTTTTCTTCAGATGCTCCAGGCTTTCCCTTCCCCAACAGCCTCCCTTGACCCAGCTCTTTATCACCTTTGAACTTGATCTCCAGGACCTCATGCAAACTCTCCAAGATGTCCCCGTTGGGCTGAAAAGTATGGCAAGGACAGTGTATGCTAATTTCCAGGCCAAGGTTGGACTCTGCAAAAAAGATGACTTTGTGAGAAACAGTCTTTCGCAGCTGCAACAGCTCCTGGCACAAGGAAGTTTCACGGAGGACATGTACTGTGCTAATTCCTAGACAGTGGGCTGGTTTCAAAGTCAGGGATGTTATCAGAGTTGAGGTTGCTGCTTTGGAAAGGAGAATAAGGAAGCAAAATCCTCCAATTTCATCTGTGCCAAAAGCCTTGTTCTTGCTAAAGGGAACTTTCTGGGCAGGTAAGAAGAGTGCTCCTGGTTACATTTTTTTTAGGCTACTCAGCATAAATTTTGACTTTGTGAGCTTCAAGGAGCTCCACTGGAAAAAAATATTTTGAATAGCTGGCTTGTGGTTGTCTGTTAGATCAGTTTTGCCATCCTCAGTACCTCTCTATTATCTGGCTTCTGGCTAGTGTCTGAAGGAGAGATCTGAAAATAAGCAAGTTGGATATGGACAAGTAATTTCATTGGAAGCATTTTTCTCAGCAGCTGCAACCTCCTGTTTTGTTGAACTGCTAGCGGTCTAAGTCACATAGACTTTCCAGAGGCAAGTTGATTTTCATAATAACTTCCTGGACCAGTCATGCTGTGTGGGCCTGACTAAAGGAACATAAGATTCTTATGAAAGCTCCTTTTTTATGCTGTGCCATGAATTAAAACATCTGGCTCCCCGGGGCATTGACAAGGTGCCTAGCACCTTTTTTCCTCAGCACTATATATACTCTCTGATGTCTTGTCAGCTAGTGTGCCTGCCCAGAGCTCACTGCAGTTCCAGCCCTGAACTCCAGCCATCAGGACACAACTTAAGACTGCTTGAAAGAGGAGGAGCCTGCAAGCCCACAGCTTACCCTTCCAGGGAGCAGCTGCTTGCCAGTACCTACATTCCAGTCTTCAGTGGCACCTAGCTTCTATCTGTGAGGCCAGTCCAGCTGTGAGTCATGATGCCTTATGCTCCGGCTGTGAATGGGGTCAGTGTTCTTGCTAGGAGCTGCCCCATAACTATCTGTTGGGCTGCCCAGTGGTGGCAGAGGTACGTTCTCTGCAGTGGTAAAGCCTCCATGTGTCTATGTATATCAGCTTCTGGTATTTCCTCACCTTTATACCTGACAAGCTGTAAACAGCTAAATAAGCCAGGATCCTTGCTGCTTTTCCCCCTACTATATTTGCTCTAATCCACATGAAAATTAAAGCAGAGCATTCCTTATTTTCTAAGTATTGCAGATTATAGTCTAGACAAGCAGAGGCGTCCCCTCTGAGCTTAGAATTGAACCAAAAGAAGTTTCAGCATCTCTCAGTAAAAAGAGTTTCCTCCTCCAGTTCTGACTCAGCCCACAGAGCTACAAAGCGGGGCCTCCAGGGCAGAGCTGGGAATCTAGCAAACGTCACAGATTGAGGAAGCTCTCTGGAGGAAGGCTTGTTCTCAGACTGAAAGAAGCTTTCCTCAATGTGAACCAAGCTCCTGCAACAAGGGGAGCAGAGAGATACTCCTGTCAACATGGATCCGTATTTCTATGGATGCCTTGGCACCCGGTCCAGCTAAGACCCCTACCTCTGTGCAGAAGCCACTCACGCACAGTCTCGGTGACATCAAAGGACAGCCACTCAGGGGAGCCCCGTGTCTGCACATTCCTGCCACTGAGGTACCGCTGCTTCGCTATGTGCTCATCCGGACGAAGGATCTGTGTCAGGAGGAGTGGTAGAAAAAATCAGCCAGTGCCATGCGTAAGAAAGGGATAGTCTTCAGATTTTTATCTTCCACTTGCTAAAATCTAATTCAGAAGGTTGGTCCTGGCAAGTGAGACACCAGGAATACCCAGGCACAGGTAAGAAGTACAAGCTTCAAATCAACCTGAAGTCCAGAGAACTACACAACCCTGATTTCTGTGTCTTAAGCAGCCTATCTCGATTCAGCATTGTTTTGGGGCACACATCCAGAGGCAGAAGCACAAAGCAATTGATCTAAGGGATGGGTTTGTTTCAGTATACACCTGTGGGATGTGGATCTGGAAGTCAGAGTAGAACCACCAATGGACAATAGAGCATCTGGCCACAGATCCCTTGCCCAGGAAGCCTATTTACTGACTCCTCACTGTGGTGTTTTCAGGTTTTCTTCACTCTTCAACTTCTATCAAAGCACACCAGGGTTGATCAGGTTTGGAGACCTCTCTCTCTATTCTGACATCTCTTCCCATTTCCAGACAACCACAACCTGTTCTGTGGGACACCAGGTTGACTCCACAGAGCACTGAACCTACACAGAAGCTCTGAGATCGCCTCCTTGTCAGTTGTGTCATCTAGTGGAGAATTGCTCTGATCTTTGAAGCTTCCAGGAAGTTCTCAAAACCAACCACACACAGGGCCATTTTAGAGGCACTCTTACAGCAAAGTGGATGGACATGAGCCTGTGGGAATGTGCTGCCTGGATGCTAAACTGTACCAGTAGTTGGGTGGTCCACTCTGGCCTAAGACTACTTCCAAGCCTGAACCAGACCTTAATCTGCCAGAGGAGTCCATAAATTCAAAGCAAGCTCCAGATAAGTACCTGGATTAACAGTAACCTGAATTGTGTCCCTGAGGAGCTGCTGCTGAAGGAAACATTGAAAGCAAGCACTACTTTTCTAGTAAGTCGGAGACAAGACAGAGAGCTCCACCCGTTGGATTAGTACCAATTGTACTGTGTGAGCCAAAGGAACAAAACTGCCAAGGGACCAATGCATGCAGATGTGACAGAAGGGTCAGGGCTGCTCCAGGCATGAGGAGCTCCCCTTCCAAACCCCTTCTCAGTGCAGCAAAGAGCTGTGGTGGGCCCCATGCCAGGATGCCCAACGCAGACAGCCAATATGAGTGGGAAAAGGACAGCATCACACTGTAAAAAGGAAGAAAGGTGACTATCACTACATATGCTGGAAGAAGCCTGGGTTACAGCATTCAATTTCTTCTCCCTCTCTTCTGTGGCTCTGCACATATCAACTGAGGCAACCATTAAGAAGCCAAGCTACACTGGGCTCAGGCACTGGGGAAGGTAATAACAACACCTACCTGGAAAAGCTCGATGCGTTGCTCACTGCGTTTAGAGCTTGGGTTGGGCACACGCAGCACACGAAACTCAGCCCGGAATAAGTTGGTGCTGTTCTTCTCTGCTGAAGACACATTAAAGCGGAACACATTGGAGGTGACACCTTTTGGACAAATGCCCAGCTCATCTAGGAGAAAGAAATAGAGAGAGACTGAGAACCAGAGCTCTGAGGGGCAGGATCTCAAATAAATATTAAGAAAGAGCTTTCCAGTAGAGACCTCTCATTGAAACATCTTGCCACCTGTGAAGCATGGCTATCTAGATGAACATAACACAGGATGAATTCACGCACATTTCCTCTACATTGCAACATTTTGCAAATATACCCACTACTGCAACTGTTATTTTAATGCCACAAGACAGAGAATCAGTAGAGATTGACCACAGTATGTTTATTATTGTCTCTTAACTACTCATCAAATGGGTTGCTAATGCTCATGAGTCAGCTGCATCTAAAATGACAACCCCAGCCCAGACAATGGGGTAACCTCACCTGCAGTTAGTGGGGCCTATTCCCAATAAAATGAGGATGGTGTGATTCTGCTCATGATGGAGACATGAAGCCACATAGGAGGTGATCCCATTGCTGTTGAATCCTAATCTTAACAAACCTTGACACTGTCTCCTAGAATGGAAGCCAGCCAATGTCCACAAAGCATGAGGCACAGAAGACTCTTTAGGAGCGCAACTATCCAATGTGTACTTAAAGAACTGGGTTTTAAGATCAGCTCTTAGTCATGACCTGGAGAATGAATTAATGAATAGTGCTAGGCCCATAGACATCAGACACATGAGCAGTAAGTAACACAGCAATTCTCTGCCTTCATGCGTGCCTGCTAAACACAAAAACCCATTTTGCATATGCTCCAAAAAAAGAGTAGGTAAAAGCTATGAGGTCAAGAGTCCTCAAGAGAAAATAAGGCTCTTCAGTGGGACCATTCTGGTCTCGTGGACATCTTTGTTGTTGCTGTTGTTCCTTTCCTACTGACCTGGTTAGCCTTCAAGGCTCTAGCATCACGAAGGCTTCCTGCAGACAAGAAAGACAGAGCAGCTCCTGCTCTACGCCCACATGCAGGTTTGTTTGCAGCCCTACAGAGCCTCTCATATGACCTCTGACTGATGTCCAGTGCAACACAGGGCTCTCTGTATCAGCTGATGTTTGTTTCTAAACAAACAAAACCAGACAGATAAACTATCACCTGTTCCCAGACATGGTTCCAGCCTCTGACAAACAGATGAGAAGCCCTAGCTGGAGTAACCTTCAAATTACATTCCTGGAGTTCTGCAGGCCCCTCTTTTCACACCACCATCATCCGCCCTGAGAAACAGCTTCTGAAGATGGGCTAGTGTAAAACAGCAACAGAGCGTACGGGTTCACCTCCCATGCCAAATTCTGATTTGAGCAACACAGATGCACTTCCAGAAACACATCAATGGAGGTGAAGATTTTCCTCTTGTGCTACACTCAGATTCAGCACACCTGCCAGTTTTCAAGGATGTGTTCTTAGGGTGCTGAAATTTTACTCAATAAGCCAATGACCACATGCTCACACTGGGCTTTAACTGGAGGAGGTTGTCATCAGTGCTACTGAATAGAACAGCTTTCCCATATGGGAAAGTCTATGGCTGTTATTGAAGAGATGGCTGTTCACTAATCCCAGGAGACCAAACCCCACTGCAGCCACGAGCTGGTGTACTCAGCCCAACATCCCTGCAGTGCAGAGTATGCCAAGCCACACATAGCCACCCGCTGTGGGGACTCCACCCATGACCAGTTCTAGGTTTGATGCCACAGAAAAGCCCAGCAGAAAACCCAAGCTCTCATTAAACCCAAGATCTCATTAAATGCCAAAGACATCTTCCTAGCTGAAGTCTAACACCGATAACTATTCTGTGTCTTAGACCTAGGCAGATACTGTGTTTTAATACTTCTTGAAGCTGTCTTGCACTCCTGGCCCTATTAACGGTCTTGTTAGCAACATGCCCTTCCATTTCAGACTGGCCTGTCCATAAGGGGCGTCTCAAAAATCATCAGAAACGCCTTTCTATATCAGACCAGTGGTCAGTCAAGCTCAGTATGTTTCCAACAGTAGTGATTTATCTGACAGTCTATTTAGAGACTGCAAATCTGGTCCTACAGCACAGTGCAGATGAGAGACAAATAATTTACAGTGTATCATCTCCTTAAGACTTTTTGCTATATTAGGCAGCCGTGGTGGCAAGACATTACTATATCTACTGTATTTCGCCTACTGTCCCCACATTACTTTCTACCTACTTACTCCACTTTTAGAGTGCTGGTCTTGGGAGACCTTCCCAGTGAAAACAGTAACAGCTCTCTTGCCCTCCCTATGAAGCTTCATGTTCTCTCTGTACCCTGGGAACAAGCCCTCAGTGATGTGGAGATGGACCTGTGACCTGTGTTTCACTCTGAACCACTGTGACGCTGGAACCTGCTTCTCATAGCAGGGTGTTCAGGATAAAGGTCTCATTCCCAAGAAACTGACAACTTTGAGGCAGTTTTTTTTGCACGAGGTCACAGGCAAAGGCAGCAAGGGGATTTTTCAGGGAACTTGGTCCAGTCCCAGCTGAGGTGTGTTAATCACACCGGAATCCAGACATGTTCACCTACCAGCACAGAACAAAGCCTGAAGGCGGTATTTCTGCAAGCTCTTCCACTCCATAACACTCAGTAGCAGTAACCAAGCCTGGAGACAGTGAATCTGTGACACCTTGTGCAGCCATGCCATGCTATGTCTGATATGACAGGATGCATCCTCACAATGAGACCCTGCTATTACTGTGTAGCCCAGAGCTGTTCACTGCACAAATGATGAGACCAGTAGCCTCTTAGTGTGGATAATGTGATACAGGAAGCAGGTTCTTTTGCAAGCTTCCATCTTCCTATCACTGCTGTCGACAAGGTGCAGGTTCACCACGTGCTGCCGATCCAGCAGAAATGCCTGCTGCTTCTGGCAAGCCCCAGGAAGGCTGATGGCTGTGCAGTTTGAGTTTGATAAGAAGGCAGGTTGTCTGTGAGCAGGTATTGCCTTCCTCTGTATTACACCACTGAATCACCAAGGTGTTTCCTGCCAAAGCTGCATAACTTTGGAGGAAAAAAACTGATCCATCTGGAACTCTGCAGGTGGCAGGTTTGGAGGGAAGAGATGCTTGGCCCCAGTGACCCATGACTTTAATTGCCTTGTGTTTCAAGCTGCCTTGGAAAATGGCATGTGTTTTTCCTCAGGAAGGTAAGCAAAAAGCCATTTGCAGGACTGTTGCAGATGCTCTCCAAGCTTGAATATAACCAAGTCAATGGTTAAGGGAGTCTGATCCCTATAAGTTTTAGGAGATCCCTAAAGTGAATGGCTAATCAAAAGGGAGTTATTCTCTGAAAGAAAGTCCCTTATAATTCAGGCAATGTGCCTGAGAGGCACAGGAGGAAGACTATTCCATGAGTCATCAAACAGCTCAGAGAAGGGATGGGGAACCTGGTCCTGAATATCTGTCCTTCCTAGAAGGATATACTTCCTCATTTTGCTCCTCAGCTCTTCTCACTTTGGAGCCTTCAGACTTTGAGAAATACGGGTTCTTTGAGCCAATGAGCCGCTTGACTAATAATCTGGAGCTAGAACAGTTCGTGTGAGTGTGCACGCATTTCAGACTTGTCTGTATCATCCTTGCAGTTCCTTCAATGGAGCGGTCCTCCCCTCTCCCTCCCCCCCAGAGGAGACTGGCTTTGGCTCAGAGCATGCTCTGAGATCACTGCCTGGCACAGTGACAGAGTCATGGGAAAGTTGAACATCAGCCACTTCTGAAGACACAGGGCCAAATTCAGCCATGGTGTAAGCAATGAAACTCCCCAGGTTTCAAAAGGAACGCTTGACACCACGATATGTCTGGAGCTAGTCTCTCCTCGTGTGACCAAATTCTAAAGTTCTGAGTGGTGGCATCTACACTACCCACTCTCAGAAATTTAATCTCAGCACTACTTAGTCTTTTGAACTCACTGCTCCAGTGTCTTATGGGGACATGGGACAGAATCATTCATTTACATAGGAATTTTCCCCAGCCCACAGTCCCTGCTCACCGTTCCTTCTTCTGCATCACTTTTTCATTTCTATTTCCCCTCAATCTTATCTAAATTCACTCCTCTGACTTCATCTTCTGCTGTTTTGCTTTCAGTTTCCTTCCCCAAAACACAGGGGTGTGTAGCATGGCTGTACTATTTTGCAGACACTTGGGTTTCCCTATATGTTTAGAATTTCATAAATGACACTTCGGTAGGTAAAAAATGTTGAAATACAGGTAAGCTGCTATACCCTGTGCACTTTCTGTTCCTTGAGTCTTGGTGTCTCCTGAGCTACGAGCTAATCATATAACCACATGGAGTGCAGTCTGTTAGAGATTAAGTAAAATTTGTTGCATTACCACATTGTAGCTCTTATTCCAACTCATCATATGTCAAGATTAACATAAACCTGGCAGAGTAACTGCATTCTGAGACTGCCTACACCAAGTCACAGCTCCTCCCCAAAACTGCTGATGTTCAAATCGTGTCCCCAGGACTGCACTAAGTCACAGAACACCCTGGATGGTGGTATGACTGCATCTGCCAATCCCAAAGAATCCCAAGCACAGCCCAAAATGACTGCTTGTGCCTACATGTGCTCAGCATCTGCAGTCTGCTTTGGGTTCATGTCTGCTCAGTCTCTCTTTGCATCTGCTCAGCTTCTGCACCTGAATCTGTTTAGCGTCCACATCTGGGCCTGCTCATCATCTGCTCCGCACCTGCTCAACATCTGCCGTGTTTCCCCAATGCCTATGTCCTCCTGGGAGTCCCTTTCACATCACAGTCTGGTTTACACCTGCTCAGCACCCGGGTTCTCTACTCGCTCTCTGAACCCTCACACTAGCGGAATAATATCCTCGTCAGTGTCCTCCAAGCACAGTCTCTTCAAAGTGCCTCTCCACCTTCTCTACTGCCGGCGCGGGCGCTGCACGGACCGGACAGGTTGCCTGTCTCTCTGCGGCAGTCGCTGGAGCTTCAGCGAGGAGGAGTTCCTCTACCTGCTCGTCACCCAAACACCAGACCTGCGCCTCCTCCCAGCCCGGTGCGCAGCGTTCACCCCGACACCCGCGCTGCCTCCTCCCCTGCTGCCTTCCCACCTCACGGCTTCCCCTCCCGCCTTCTCCAGATTTCAGGGCACGGGTTCCGCTCGCCGCTGCCGGCCGGGGTACGGGCAGATGCTGATCCCGGCCCCCGCCACCCACCGCCGCCCGAGCCCCGCGCCGTCCTGCCGGTGGTCCGAGCGCCGCCGTCACACCGCGGCTTCCCCCCGGCCCCGGCCCCCGCACCCGAGCGCACGGTCAGGCAGAGACGCGCCCCCCGCCCGCCTCCGCTCTGCCGGGAAAGCGGCCCCTTCCACGGGGGCCCGGCGCCCCTCGGGCCCGGCCGGCCGCCCCTCCTCCGCGCCCGGTATCCCGGGCAGCCTGCCCCGCGGGCGCGGCACCCCGGCCGGCACGGGGGGAGCCCCGCACTTACTGTGCTCGGGGAGGCCCTGGATCATGTCAAATTTATGAATCTCTTTGGCATAGTATTCGGACTCGGTGTTGTCCTGAGAGCAGCTCTCCTCCTTCTCCTCCTCCATCTCCTCCAGCAGCTCCCGAGTGCTGTTATAGAGGGCCAGGATCTGGTAGGGCACATGGGCTGGCCCCACAGTCTCTGGAGGGCTGGTGAGCCGCAGTTTGCTCAGGATTTGCCCCCGGATGGCCTCCACCCTCTTCTTCTTGATGTGATCCAGGTCCAAGGTGGTGCAGGAGGACAGCGAGAGGCTCACGGTGGCGAAGCTCAGTAGGGAGAGCAGCACCAGAGCCCTTTGCACGTACATCTTCATGTGCGAGGCGGCGGCGGCCGGGACCCCCGGTAGAGACCCCCGGGCAGCGGCGAGAGAGCGCGGGTGACCGGGCGGTGTGCTGGCGGCAGCCTCCCCAAATCCCGCAGGCTGAGGCTTGGCGAGGAGGTGCATGAACTCACTGCGCCGTGCGCGACTCAGGACTTCCAGGAAGAGCTGGCAGCGCTCCGCAAGGAGAAGCGGCAGGCGCCGTGCCTCGCCGCGCCGCGCTCCTTCCCCATGCGCCGCCCCGCGCCCCGCGGAGCCGGGGGCGCCCCGCCGCGCCGCGCCGCCGCACGTGTCAGCGGCCCGCGCCGCCCCGCCGCCGCGGGGGGAGCGCCGCGCCCGCCCCTCTCGCTGCACCATTCATGCCCCCGCCGGGCCCCGCGCCCTACATCGCCCGCCGCCCGGCCCTCGCCGTCCGGGAGCGCGGCACCGCGGCCCCCCTCGCCCGGCCGGGAGCGCTGCTGCCGGGCCGTCCGCTGCGCCCGCGGGTTGCGCCGGCCGCCGTAAGCCGACCGCGCACCGCACCGGCCGGCCCGCGCACACTGCCGCTCCCCCGGCCCCGCCGCTGAAATTTTATACCTCCCTCCCATGACGTCCCCGGGACGGGGCTCGGGGCGGGGAAGCGAGCTCCAAGCCCGGCCTTCGCCCGCGCCGGCCCCTCGCTAATGGCTCCGGCAGCCGCGAGGCCCCCGCCGCCCCCTGGCCCCGCCGCCGCCCCTCGCGCCGCCGGGGCCGCCTGGCCCCGCGCGCCCGGGCCCTCCGCGCAGGCCGGCCCCGCGCGCCCTCCGACGTGGCCGCCGCACCGCACCGGCGGCGGCGCGCGGGCGCCCCCTACTGGGGGGCGCGGGCGGGTCCTTCGCGGTGGTCCGGGTGGCGCGGGAAGGCCCCTCCCTCTTCCAGCTGCGAAATCGCATTAAAAGCCGCTAAAAATACCCCGAATACTTTCCTGATGTGGTTTCTTTCCGGGGGAGGGAGGGAGGCGCCGGGCGGCGGGGCCCGGGCGCCGCGCTGCGGACGGGGGGCTGCGGCGTGGCTGGCGGCCGTGCGTGGCCCCGCGGGCACAGTGACGGTGGCGGGCAGGGGCAGGGTCAGGGTCAGGGCGATGCCCCGCGGCCCGGAAGGCAGGTGGACAGAGAGCCCTGCGGGGTCTCTTTCACGGCAGCCCTCGCTGAAGGGACGGGGCTGCTGCGGCACCCGCCGCCCTCGGAGGGGGCCAGGACCACACGCGAGAGACACAGCACCGGCCCCAGCCGGGGTCAGCACCCATAACCCGGGCCTGTTCGGGCCCCTCTGCCGGGGCATGTTCTCACCACGGCCACCCGCCGCACCGGCCTCCCTCCTCCATGCCCTGCCCGCGCCCGCTGCGCTGAACACCAGGGAGGCGTTCCCGGCCCCTGGAGCGAGCGAGAGCCCTTATGCCCTCACTTGGACCCTGCCCCAGGTGAGCAGGGACTCTCGGCCCCACTCCCCAGCGCTTCTCCTGGGGCCAGCAGAGGGGCAGCCCCTGAGCCGGCCAGGCTCCTGGGGCCAGGTGGCAGCTTTGTGCCTTCCCAACCATGGGAGCCGCTCGAAGCACTGCCAGTGGTCTGGTGATGTGTTGGGGAAGTGGGGCAGGCACAGCTGCTGAGGGGCTGTGGGCGATGTGGGAGCTGGGTAGAGCTCTCTGCAGAAGCAAGTCCTGGATCTTCATGCTCTGGGAGAGGTGGGCCCCAGGGGCATGTGGCCCCTGTGCCTGGAGCGGTGGTGTCCAGCAACAGCGCAGCTGGAAACACCAGGCACAGCTGCAGGGAGCCTTCCCTCGCCTATATGTTCAGGGGCCTGGGGCTGGGAGAGTACTGCCAGCCCAGAGGCCATGGGCTCACTCAGAGTGTGGAAGAGGTTGATCCATGGGGCAGCTGGGGGTGCTGGATGCCTGCTGAGCCCATTCCCTGCAGCTCTGAGGAGACAAGACTGGGCTGCTCACTGTTCGCTTGTGCTTTGCTTGGGGAAGAGGAATTTGAGCTCCTTGATGCAGCAGACAAAGATGTAACAAGATCTAGTGGCTTTAAGATGATGTCAGGCAAATCACAACTTGGAGTAAGGTGCAAATTCTGAGTGCTGACGTTAACAATCTATGGAATATTTTAACGTAGATTGGGATGGATGTTTCTAGAGCTCCCCAGGCATTTCCCAAATGAATTTTGGATGCTTTTCCACACTAGGACCTCCTCTGTCCTGCATTAGGTTGGAGGTCACACTAAGTGCAGTAGAACTGATTGCTTTGGACTTCAGCAATCCATTTACTACAGTGCTGCATGGTGAATTATTAGTTAAGATGGAGATAAGTACAGAAATTATAAGAAATTAAGAGAGTTCCTCAGAGGCTGGTCCTGGGCCCAGTTTTTATTAATGATCTTGGCACGCCAAAATAGATGTGCTAATGAAATTGGCTGCTTATCTAAAACTGGGAGGCATTGTCAATACAGGGGAGGACTGGGTGTAAGCAAATTTGAAGGCTGACACAGTAGAAATTGGATGAAATGCAATAGTACAAAATGTAAGTTTATGTTGTTAATGGCTCCAATCAGATTTTTCTGTTACAACTTGACAGTGGGGACTTACTGCTTGGAAATTATAGCAGATGTAGGTGTGGTGCTGGTTCCTGTATTGGGCCACTCACTTTCTGCTCCAGGTGTTGCTCTGTGGGATGAGAGAGGTGTGGAATCTCTGTGGTCTGACATTCACTGGAACCAACACTGGTGGCTGCAAGTAGCAGTCACTAAGAGGTTGCACATCTTGGACATGCTGGAATCCAGCTAGGCTGAGGGAGAGCCTGACAGGGCTACTGAACATGTGAGTGTCATAGGAAATATATTTCACACTTGGCAACTCTGGTTGGGGTTTGACAATCTGAGCTGGGGTTGATGTAACCCGAACAGCATCTGTTCTCGTGGAGATCGAGACAGGCAAATGCGTGGGCCTTTGCTGCCTGTCAAAGTCCCTTCTACCTTCCAGAAGGAGAAACCTCTTGTTTGGAGCTTTGCAATTGTTAGGAGATTTTGTTCTGGAACCCACAGAAATAACAGAATATTTGCAGTTGTTTCCCTCCTGCAAAACCCCATAGAGACGAGGTAAATACTTCGAGGTGCATGGAGAACAAACTGCAGAGAAATCAAATTGAGATGCTTGGAGCTGCCAGTGTGCTGCTAGTGTGGAGCAGGCTACAGCAGCAGTTTTTGCCGAGCACTTTGCTTCCCAGTGGAAGCTTACTGTTTTTAATGAATTGGCTCATGTCAAAATCAGGAATCTGGCTGGCCGCCTGACGTGAGGATTGGGTGAGGAAGAAAGGCGCAGCACTGTGTCACTTGTTACTACTGGAATTGCCCTGCATCCCATAAATCTTACTGCTGCCAGGGAGCTACTTAACAAAACCTTTGGCAACTCTGAATAAAGTGGTCATTGTGCTACCATGTCAGCTTTCCACCATAGCTGCAGCTTTAACTGCACATGTGTGCCCTCTCTCTAAAGGTGGTCTAGGACCAGAAGCATATGGGAATGCTCAAGTGTGATTGCTTTCCCAGACTCTTATGGCTTTCTCATGGGTAGGAGGACCAGACACAAGCTCTATTCATACATCTGTCCAGCCAAGGGGTAATCAACAGTAAACAGTGCTAGTGGGGGACTCTGTTAGTCCTATTCTGCGTGATCAAGTTTGGGTTGAAACCAGATGGAGAGAGTCCATGCTTAGATGTGAGAACTTGTTCGTGAAAGGAATGCTTGCGTAGTTCTTACTTGCTGTTCAGATGGGAGGGGGTGGCAGCAGTGTGATTTATAGTGAGGGCAAAACCGAACAAGTAAGGCAGACTGAGACCTGAGAATACACCTGGAACTGTACACTGGGAAGGAGAAACCCTGGCACCAGAGACCTGAACTGGACAGGAAGCAAGCACAAAAAATGGCTTTGGGCAATCACAGCAGCACCAGACATTTGTCCTGTTACCTGGCTCCTTCTCGGTTGAGTGGAGCTGTTCTAGGCCCAAGGTCAAATGCTACCTGTGGTTTCACCAGTAGGGCAGAGGAGAATTAAACTATTCAGAAAAGGTGACCCCAATGCTTAAAGCAAGCAAGATCCATTTGAGCCACACTATGAAACAATGAATAAAAACTCCTTTTTCCCTGTTGCCCTCCCCAAGCAGGCAGAACTGTGTCAGGGTGGATGACAAACTCCATTTCAATAAATTGGGTCTGGAGGGACTCGAGGCAGGACAGATTTTGGGTTTCATTTTTTCTACACATCTGCTCTTCTCTCCCATTGAGAATCTCTTAAGTCAGAAGTCAAAGTTCTGAGGCAAGGCTCAATTCCCCAAGTGCTTAAATGTTTTCTTTCCTGCACATGGATTCTGCCCTTCTTCTATTGGCCTGAGACTTCTGTCCCTGGGGTGGGCAGCAAGCGTCTTGAGGGGAGCTGGGAAGTGGAGGTGGGGTGGTGTCTGGGATGGGGACCCAGAGGAATTGCGAGGTGGAGCTTGGAGAGAGAGGGCAGTTCCAAACAGGTGAACCTGCTGGTCCTGCTGCTTCATGATCTGTCTGTCCAGGATGACACCTGGTATTGTCTCTACCCTGCCTCCAGTAGGAACACCCTGCCAGCTACCTGTTTGGGGCCACAATGCTGGCGATGCACTCCTACCCAAGGATTCCCACCCCAGGGGTGCCCTCCAGCTTTAGCAGACATTGCTCTGGGTGCTATCATGCTCTTCTTGGGATGCTGTTTTTCTGATCAAGGTCAGCTGTAAGTGTATGCCTGTACTAGCACATCTTGCAGTGGTTACTGTAACCCCAGACCCACAGTCCCCTCTATCTCCTGGCATCTGTGTAGCTGCATTGTTGCAGCAGCTCTTTGTAGGAGTGGATGGGAACTGGGAAATGCAGGGGCATATTCCCGTGGCCCTGGTGGTGAAGCATGGGCTAGGTGAAAACTGCCCTCTATACTTCATGAACACTTGAATCTGTAATTAAAACAAGCACAAAGTATCTAGAAGATCATCATTTCATAAAGCCCAACAAGCCTGGCTTTAAAAAAGGAAAATCATGTCTCACTTACTGAATTCCTTAAACACGTCAAGGTTTGTAAAGAGAGATAATATCTTTTATTAGGCCAATTGATATAGCTGGAAAAAACACACAAGCTTTCAGGCACAGAAACACTTCTTGTATGTTTTTTTCCAGCTATATCAGTTGGTCTAATAAAAAATTATTACCTCTGCCCACAAATCTTATTTCACTTAATCCTTAGATCATCACAGAACAACTACTTGAACATGTCAGTAAGAAATGGAAAAAAGAGAATTATTTAATACAATTTATTTAGACTTCTGAAAGTTCCTCAGCCAAACCATGAGCTGCTACTAAAGCTAAGCAGGTATGGAGTGAGATCTGGTGCCTTTAGTAATAGGTTTTCTTGGAAGGCTTAAAAGTTTAGGGTTACACAGTCAATTTTCATCATGGCGAAGTGTTAACAATGTAGTTTGTGGTGTGGCACAGTTCTTTATTGTAGCAGCAGAATAAATGACAATTATTTAGGTTAATGAGGATGGTTGAAGATTCTGAGGAATGTGAGATACCAGAAAAAATATAAGCAAATGAACAAAGCACTGGAAAACTGAATGTTTATTTAACATGTGGAGCTAAAACCAGATCTGTTTACAATTAATCTGTACATCTGTCCAGTCAAGAAGCAGACTGGAGACGTTTTATGCAGCTCAGTGGAAATCTCTGCACAACTCACGCTTACGAGGCACGTGTGTAATGATCGTTGTGCTTATATTTGATCCTCGGGACTGCCTCCACTTGTGCTCTGGAGACCGGCTGCCCCATCTGGAAAGCAGTGTTAGAGCGCCAGAGAGAACTGGGAAGAGCATCAGAAGCGATCAGGAGACTTGGCAGGAGCCTCTGTGAGGAGACGGACAAGGCTGGGATTATTTGCCTTAGTGGGAACTTAAAAAGTGTCTACGGCAAAAAGCTGTAGAAGGCAGAGTGGCAGGCTGTTCCTGACCTGCCCCGCTGCACGTGGGATTAAGCCCGGGTAACAGAGTACCTGCATGACGTATTGCAGCACTGCTGTCACCGGTGGCCAGGCCAAGGTTCTGGGATTGCCAGGGCGCTGGATGTTGCTGTGGCTGCCCGGGGCTCCCAGCGGGGCGCTCCGGTGCGGTTGCCGGGCCGCGGTTGCCGGGGCGGCGGGGCGGGCTGTGCGCCGGAAGCCCCGGCGGCGGCGGCAGATGGAGGCTGAGGCTGAGCCCGAGCCCGGGCGAGCGGAGGCGCCGCGGCGGGGCGGCGTGGCCGGGGTGAGCGGGTCCGGGAGGCCCGGCCTCTCCGAGCGGAGCCGCGGGGCCTTTCGGCGGTCCGGGACGGGCGCGGGGCCGGGAGGGCACTCGGCGGGGCGGCGGCGTGGGCCGCCCCCGGAGTCGGCCCGCCCGGTCTGGCTGCCGTGGGCCGGCCGGTGGGCCGGGAGGCGGCGGCGGGGGGAACTCCTGCGGCTGTGGTGCCTTCGCACCGCGTGTGAGGGCACCGCGCTTCGCCGCGGGGCATGGCGCGGCGGCACAGCCGTGTCTCGCCTTCTCCCCCTGCCCTGGAACAGCTTTTATCAATAACCGTGTGCCCTCCGCTCCTTCGTATCTCCCCCTGCGCTCCAGATACTAAAGATGGGCCGTCGAGCCCGGCAGGACCTCTTGGCAGATGAAAATCTCATCAGGAAGAATTCCCCGTCTGCTTCTCTTGGAGAGGTGGGTGTACTGTCAGAAGAACCTGTCATTTATCCTGCTGGTGTCTCCAGCGGAGGAGTCTTCATTTCTTCTGAGATCCTTTCCTGCGTGTTGTGCTCTGTCCTTTAAAGTTTTTTGTCCTTAGAGTTGGGACACATGTGACTGCCCGGTCCCTTTCCTGGTGTTGCCCTTTGCAGGATGTGTAGTTTTCACACAGGACCATATTTAGGGCTACAGTCTCTCCTGTGAAGTATGGAGAGTAGTATCACACAGAATGTGGGGTCTCTCCCTCCTGTGCATGCGTATCTTCCCAATATTTTGATTCCCAGAATTAAAATACGAGCAGGCACATCATTTTGTGACCAGTTTTGCCACTGTCTATGGAAGCAGGACAAAGTACAGGTAAACAGATGCTTTTGTGCTTTGCTTTTACTAGAGCCAGAGTACAGTATCTGATGTGATCACTAGGAAGTTTGTGTAGTGATGCTCTGTTTCCTTTCCTCCGTGCACAGGCTACAGAGGTCATTCTAGGATCCAACTTTGCAGCATCTGAGGCTTTGTCTTGTGGGTAATAATGTGCAAACTCAGTTCCCACTTGTCTTTGGAGGAAAACTGTTGTTCAGAATCTGCTCTATCAGTACATCTTCAAATGGTAGAAGGGGGTCTGGAAGCCCTCTTTCTCAGGAGAGTGAGGCAACATCCTCTTGTATCCAGAAATATGAGATCTGAACTGTTTCGATTCACTTTCTTGCTTAGTGCTGCAGAATGCTCAAATTCTACTGGAAGTTTGCTCTCAGATGTTAGCATGGCTTCTCCACAGGCCTCTCCAGCTGGAAAGAGCACTTCTCAAGAAATGACATAGAGATTTTGCTCCCTGGTATCTTCAGAGGGACTAGAGTGTCATGAGAGTTCCACCTTAGTGATGACAGTGATAATTGTCTACATGAGGTGATCCTTAACTTTTTGCAGTGCCAGTCATAGTCTCCAGCATAACATGTTCTTGGCTTCTTTAAATTTCAAACCTGTTTTGTCCTGCTGGCCACCTTGGCTCCAAGTGTGCTTCAAGCTGCTCTGCTCAGAGCCCTGGGGCCTTCTGTCTTGGGATTGGCTACTCCCTGATCCTCTGTGCTGTGACAAAACTTTACTATTACACTGTGTCCCAGCCATCTGTGCTGAAACGGTTTGCTGGGGGGGAATAATTCCTTGGAGATCCTGGGATGCTGTTGAAAATACACTGTAATGCCTTAGCATACAGTAATGCCTCATAGAGCAGGCTTTTTTTTCTGGAGAAAGTATGTGCTTTTCTTTTAGTAGACATAGTGGAGAACCTCCCACCTACTCATTCTCCCCTCCTCAGGTGTGCTGTACTCATTTAGGATGGATTCTGTGCGGGAATATGGAGAAGGCGTAATTTAAGAAATAGAAATAACCATGGGCCTCATAGGTAAAAACAGTCTTAAAGAAACCAGGTGGTCGTTTAAGGGGGTGTAATCATTGGTTGGCCTCCAGATTAGGGTGGCTCACTGTCAGATTGTTGTCTTACTGGAACTGGCCGTCCTAGTTTATAGGCTGATTCCCTGGTTCGAAAGAGACTGGGGTGTTACGTAAGGATACAGCTGGTTGACTGGAAGTTACTGCAGTTGTGCTTGGTGTATCGCATCACAGCCATTTAGCTGGGAAGAGATCATAGGTCCTCCAATCCTTGGGCACCCCTGAAAAGGACTAAGAAATAGTTACAGTGCTCTGTTTGAAAGCAGTGAGCTTTTCAGCAGCAGAAGGGTGAGGCCTTCCACGCCTTAGAACTTTCAAATATGTTATTACTGGATCTGAACCACCAGGAAGAATCGTTTGTGTCAGTAGTTTCTCTTCAGACAGGTCTTTGTTGCTAAATGTTTCTGTTAATTGAAAACCTCGGAGCTACTGGAGGAGAGACAAAATCCACTATAAATAATCCACAGCTTTTCCTTTGCTGAGGAATTGGAGGCTTTTCATACATGACCATATTTGATATCAAAGTGAGCATTTAATAGAACTAATATTGTTTTTTCCTTCACCCTAGATTGGAAATCACCTTTTACTTTTCTGGAAGCTTGGCCTTGGCTTGCTGTTAAGTGGTGGGATCAGCTGTTACAATGGATGTCTCAGCGATCTGGTCATCTTGAAACCTTTTGAAGGAATCTTCCCAAAAGAAATGCAAATAAAAAACAGTCCTTTCTGGTTTTTTTCTGGAACTGGCACTAGTGGAGTAGGCCTCATGTAATTAATTTCAGCACAAGAGGTTTTATTCTTATTACTGATTTTGAAGACAAAGGGGTTTGTCTTAAACCTTTGCCATATTCACAATTTCATATGCAGTTTCACATTCAGGATGGCGATTCTACCTTCAGAGGTTCCTCAGAGTTTTAAAACTGGCTTAATTTACTTTGACTCTTCCTATTTTAATTCCATGCCAATCCACTCAGTTTCCACCCAGCTCAAATTTCTGGTATAAACGTACCATTTGTGCCATTGTTCTGGTCTTTTCATGGCACTGAGAAATATCCAGAAAGTCTTTTCCAGGCAGAGCAGCTTGCTTGAAGGATGCAAAAAGTGCCTGTCTATCCATGTTTCAACATTTGGGCTTATTACAAGGAAATTCTCTTTGAGGGAGAACAATTAATGTAATTAAAAGGATCTTTGTTTTGAAGTCAATAGGCAAATCATCTGACTTGGAGCATAGATCTTATCAGGTTACTGCTGATCTCTCCTTGACCTGGTCTCCCCCTTCCAAAAGAGACTCCAAACTGTGTGCCTTTTGCTCACAAATGTGTTGTTAAAACTCCCTTCCTTCCCTAGGGCATAACTGCAGTGTCTTGTGCCTTGTAGCCTAATATACTTCCCTCAAGCTCTATGAAAACAGTCTGATATCTCAGTATCTTCTCAGCGCCTGTTATGTGTATATATCTCCCACAATAATATTCTTAACTATAGCAGCAAATCTGTAATTCCTCTGTCCGGGTCTCTATTTGATAATTCCCATTCCTGTGTGGAAGTGCCTGCATTGTCTTCAAATATAGACCTCTGTCTCCTCAAGGGGCTCACAAAAGGTCACAAGGCTCACAGTTTGCCATCTGACATGCAGAGCATTCCTGCCTTTTCAGAAGTACAAGTACTAACAACGCTGCTGCTACATCTTATTTTGCGAGGCAAGAAGGAACATGATTATTTGCTGTAATTGATGCATCCTCCTGCAGCAAAGGCTGTGCATGTACCTTGCCTTCAGAGCTCCTTGGCAAATTGGCAGGCACTTCTTGCGCACCCAGGGGAATGTGCTTTAAGTGGGAATTCCTAGAGATAAATCTGCTAGCTACATGCCAGAACTCCACATTTCAAACATTTGTTTTCAGAGGGAGAGAGGCCTTACCCATCCCCTGGCTTGATCTGTTACATTTACTCATTCTGATGCTATCAAGTTTCTGACAAAATGGGAGAGACTCAAGCTGACCAAGTTATTTTTATAATGGGAGGGACAGATCATATAATGAAATCTGTTGAAGATCTTTGCTAGCTCATCCTAACAGGACTTCTGGACACTTCTGTAGAACGAAAGTCAAACCTATTTCCTGGCTCTAACATCACTGCACCCAAAAGCCTGAATTCTTGATGACATCCACCAGAAGACAATGTTTGGCCAGGTTTGGGGCTCTCAATGAGATTGATTTGGAAAGCTGAGTGGAAAAATTTTAAAAATGTATCAGCAGACTTTTCTGTTATCTCATCGAGAGTGAACTATTTGTTGTTCTATAAGAAATCTGTATGCAGAAATATTGCAATGTTATCTTGTTTCCAGAGTCTGTTTTCTCTTCATCCTGTGGTGACAGGATTCCCTTGGGACCTTGTTCAAGAGTTCCCTGATTTCTACTCTTACAACCTCAATATGATTTTTCCAGTGTGTGTCTGATGGCACTTTGTAGATCCTTTGAGCAGAGACTACTTTAATATGCAATATGTCAGCCTCCAAAATGAGGATTTTCCAGACTATGTTGATAGTATCTACACACATGTAGGACAAGATCACTTTAAATCAGGATTTTCCCAGAAATCAAGTTCCCTGCTGGTTCTCTTCTCCATGTTTCACCACAGCTGGGAAAAGGCTCTATACTTTCAATTCTGAAAGTATGTTTTTCTCTTGTTATCCTACCTGGCATTTGTGAGCTTGCCTTTGTAGCTGTGGTCCTTGGGTGATAGTTAAAAAGTAAGCATTTCTGTGCTGTAAAAAATACCTTAATCAGGGTACTTTCATGTAGACAGATGAAAGCTTGGGCCATCTCCACTGTACATTGCAAGGATGTTCCCACAGGTGAATTTTGCAAAGCAGCTATCTGGACTTTACCACCCAATTTACAAACACTCCTGGCAGTGATTCTTTAGGCTGACATCCAGGCATCTTTAAAATAGGATTCCATTATCTAACCCAAATGAATAAACAATAAAAAAAAAAATGAATTGCTGAGAGTGAAATCCACGTGGAAGACTGCTCAAAGAAGTAGTTATTTAAATGCTTTTCTAACATGTGTTGACCAGCTGGATTTTCCCCTGTGCTAGTGTAAGTCTTAGACCGCTCGGACTCTGTACATCCAGAGAAGCTTAGGTCACGTTGGGCCCCACAGAAGCCTTTCTGCGTTTGGATGTGGGATCAAGTGAGTCCCTGGCTGACAGATACACACTTCCAACAGATTTTTACCAGTTGGGTAAATCTGACCTCATTCATGCTGCTCATTGATATGGATACTTTTGTACTCCAGCTGTCCTAACCTGCATGTAGCCTCCCTCTGCTCTTGCCCTAGTAAGACCATGAGAACAGATGACAAGACAGACAGTAGGTGAACTCAGATACCAAACCACTTTAATCAGAGATATATGCAAGTTATGAATCACATGGCTTCTGTGGTCCACAGGAGAGATGATGCAGAAGAAGAAGAATCAGGTGGGTTAGTGGAGTTTTTCCAGCTGTCATATGCGTACACCTGGTGCAGTCCATCTAGGATACCCTAGATTCTCTCCCTGGGTGATTCTGAACACTGTGATTTCTAGAATAGCATAGAGCTTACCTGGTTCTTAATCGCCTCCTTGCATTTGGTGTCTTGACAACAGTGGTTTTTGCCACTGGTGGTGCTGACAGTCTGCTCATTTAAAAGGTTCTCAACCAGTTTGCAGCTTTCACAGTGATTAACAGACTGCTTTCCTTGAGTTACTCATCTACCCCACAACCAAGCTACTCCCCTGTACTACAGTGTTAGCTATAGAGCATCTGCTAAAGTGAACACTGTTGTCAGCTATGCCTGTCTTATGCTAACTGCTACAGCTCCTGCTCCCAGGCAAGGATCTGAGGTTGTCTTGAGAAACAGCAGCTCCTAAAAAAGGCTGCAGCCTACTACACTATATAACCTCTGGTGTGACTGGTCCAGCATAATTTCTGGTCTCTGGCATGGCTGCAGTGGCTATCCATACAAATCTTTCAGGCATCCTACGCACTTGAATAATTTGGGTTTTTTCATTCTATAGGGAGAATGAACTAAGTCTGTTCTCTTCTTGCTCATGTTTCTTTTCAAGGTCTGCTACTGTCAGACTTTCCTGCCATTGCAGTCAAACATTCCTGCTTTAAGTATCATCAGTCGGTTTATGCATAAATGACAATGGTGGGATCAATTTTGTGCTTTGTTCAAGTGAATAAGGTGGCGAAGCATGTGCTGCAGGACAGCCAGAAATGTCGTTCTTCAAGCTATTTTGTGCTGGCTTCCATAGTGCTTCCTTTTAACTTCTTTCTCTCTTTTTCCCTCCTGATCCTTCTAGGATGAAGACTCTGAGGAAAAGGTTGACCATGTAAGACTAGAGGCTTTCTAGGTAGATGCTGGCTTCTCTGAAGGGGACTAGTAGGACTAACCTAATATGTGTCTGGAGTCTACCTTAAAAAGGTACTCTAGTACTGGAGAATGAGGCAAAGTTTGCCTCAGATGCAGTGCCTTTCCTGCATCCTCTTTTCCTGTTGCTGACAGGTTTTTAATTATCTTTGTAACAGCTACTTTTATCAGCTGCTGCATCTTCTTTAGAGGTCACAGATGTATATGTGGCCACTGGAAAGATGCTCTATTCTCATTTAAAAGTCAGGACAGCAATTAGTTAATAGAATACAAAATCTGACTGAGCCTAGATTGCTGTCCAGTATGGTTAGCTCGCTCCCATAACATGAAAACTTGTCTTCAGGGATGATGAAGTCTTGCTGGTGTCCTAGGGGAGAAGGCCAGCCAGTAGTAACAAGGATGTGTGCCTTTGTATTTTCTATGAGTCTTTTTATTGTGCCATCTCTGGAATGCCAATGTGTGTAGTTCATAGGATGTCATAATGCTTCTTACCAGGCTCCTGTTATACGGGGAGAAGGAATACACATACCCTTTCTCATCATGCAGCAAAGCTAAAATATACGCAGCATTCATTTAGCATTAGAAGCCAGGATGACGCTGTTCAGAACAACCTGAGAACTTCTACCTGTTTCTGTTAAAGTCTTTGGGCCTTGCACTCTTCATAACTGTGGAATGGGTGTTGCCTAATTTTTCCTGCCTTGAGTTGCTCTCTGTATATGTTAGACAATTAAAGCACCTTCTTCTGTACTCTTCAATTCCTCCTGCTGAAGCACCACCTCAGTATGGATAGCATAGTAGATTCATTTGTGAAATTTAAAGCCCAGAAAAGAAAACCGTATCACCCATCTCATTAATTCTGGCCTCAGAAGGGTATACTCATCACAAGGAGTCAAGACTATTCAAATTAGCTCAGTTTTCTCATGGTAGTATAAGAGATGATATTATAGGAAATATCCACTGGGTTTATTTGGCAGTAATGGATGGTTCAGGACTATGCCCAGAGCACTTTTCCATTTATCAGGCAAAGAGACCTCCCACTGATGGATATAGTTTTGGGGACTGGTTGCCTAATAGAAATTTTTCCTGATAATTGATATAATCTCCTCCCCCCCTCACTGGAACCAGTCCTTACAGTCATTTCACTGGAACTAATTCCACCTCCATACAGTGCCCTAAGTCATTGATTCCCAAAGTCTGCTGTTGAATGCTGACTGGTCACATGCCACAGGCGCCTTCTTGCTCCTGGCTGCTAAATTTCATTAAAATAACTAAACTGATGTGACTCTTCCACATGAGCAATTGTTATCGCTTCAGGGGTGTTATGCAATGGTGCCTGGCAAGGAGATTTTCCTTAGTATGAAGGGATCCCTGCTTTGAAACCCCTCTTGTTTGGATAATTCCTGTGTCCTTTATTCAGGCTTATGCTCTTAAGCATCACAGTCATACGTTACAGTATTTTTCCATTTGTAAAAGCCTGTAAAAGGTATAAAATAGTTAACTGAGCGTTGAGAAATCTGACTGATCAGTAAGCTGCTTGTAATTTACAATACTATATGCTCACAAACTTCTGTTAATTGTATTGTAAGTCTGTTCCAAACCAATTGTTAGTGGAACTTTATATTATAAAGTATGATCCAAATCTTGTTGCAATATATCCCTCCCTTAGTCATTGCCTGGCCAAGCTGAAATACTTGGCTTCTTGAATCATTTGTCCGAAGTTGGCTCCTTCGTCCCCCCGATGGCTCATATAACCCTTCTCTGAACTCCCTTTGGGCTATGCTGAGTGTTACAATCTGAACTCTTCCTGGATTTGGTCCCTTTCCTCTTGCTGTGCTGAAGATAACTTTGTGGCTGCGTGGATACCAACAAACAGCCGCTTCTGGGCTGTTGATGTGAACATACCTGCTGAAGTGCTGCCCTCCAGCCATCTGCCTGCTCTGAAACTTGTTTTGCATCCCCTGGCAAACCACTCATCTTGGATCTGAATTTTTGCAATTGAATCACTCATTTGGCTGCACCTTCCAAGGCTGCCTGGGACATGTAGCCAAAGGCTGTAAGGCTGATCAATGGTAAAATACAGGGTGTATCCTAATATTTCAGTTAATTTGCAGAGGCAGAATAGGCATGAGGAGTATGAACATGGCTGTGAGCCGAGATTTTGCTGGGTTCTTTTCCTGGCTTTGCCATGGATTTGCTCTGGGGCCTTGTAGAAGTCTCTCCACTAGTTTCCTTTAGTCCCTGTGTGAAAGGAGGGCTAGAGCTTTATACAGATTCCCTGAACACATATCCACAGGTTTAGATGCCTTATCTTCATAGCAAAATCCATAGCTTTTATTGGGTGCCTGCTTAATATGTAGATAATCTCAGGATGGGCTGGTGGATCTGTTAGGGTGTTAAAGAGTAGCTGGAAACTGCACTGTGTCTGAAACTGTTCCTCTGTCCAGTTCTGGCCCCATTCTGAGAGTTCTGGGAGCACGTTCCTGCCCTACCAGTGAGTGATCCTGATCCCCATCCTGTGTTTTGTGTAGCCTTCAGAAGTGGAGAAGGGCTTTTCCTTGACTTTGGGGACTTCCAGGGATTGAGGTGTTCATTTAGATCTTGAAGCAGCACACTTTATACATAAAGATTAAACCTGCTATTTCCTTTCTAAACTGGAAAACACTGATTTTATTGTTCTCTTCCTCCTCTGAGAAAGATGTATCAAGTAATGTTTCCCACTTCCATAGATAATATAATGACAAAGCTATGAGCTGTTCTGGGTCGGAGAAGGCTCTCAGTCCTTTCTCCTGAAGCTGCTCTGCTTTGCAGATGGAACCAAAAGGATTTTGGTGCCACAGGGAAGGACTTTCTAACTGAAAGCAACAACATTTGGGTGGGAAGACATATGTTCCAGTCCCAATGAGTTCAGCTGGGACCTCATTCTCTGTCTGTGCTTTGACAGACATGCCACAGATAGTCTCAAGGTCCTTCATGGACTAAAACAGGGACAGCGCTTGATTTCTGACTCTTATATAGGTGGATGCTGACCTCTGTGGCTCTGTTTCACTCAGTGTTTTGAGTGATGACATGCTTTAAGGCAACAGTTGGAAAGAGGATTTAAAAATGCGACATTTCCAGTGGGGGCTGAAGTTCTAGTCCTGTAGTTCTAGTTGCCAGTGCTTTTATAACATTTAGGTAGAAAAAACGGGCTGTTGCTTTATAGTTTAAGGCAACATATCAGGAACAATTGATTTCAGTGAATGTTTTTTGGAAGAATAACTATCAAAAAACCTTAAGTATCTGAAATATAAAGCTATTTGTGTTCTTATGTTGCTAGGTTACCCAGTTCTGTGGGGTTGATTGAGTGAGTGTGTTTGCATCCAAACATATAGTGCAGAGTGATGCAGAGATCCCCTGGTGAGAAGCAACCTGCCCTCTACCTGGGGAGGTACCAACTTGGTTACCAGAAGTACCCAAAACAAGACCATTTCCAGACCTGAGCTGACTCACATGAATCCTGCTTGTAGGTATGTCTGCACCTGTGGTGTAGACATGGCCTGGGGCTTGGTATGATCAGGGCCTTTAATCAGAGCGGTATTTTCCTGACCCAGTTCTTAACCTTGCACAGTGGTTGGCACCCAGCTCCAAACTCATTCCACTGTCTGGTCTGGTCTGGTTCTGCACAGCAGCTACCCCCCAAGTGCTCTTGCCCATGTTCCCTTAAACTTAAAAACGTGTGACCGAGGACCCAGCGCTGGCTGCACTCAGTTGGGCACTTACTGGGGGACCTTATTTGTTTAAAAATAATCACAGTGGTTTAGGTGCTGTCCTGCTGCTCTAGTTCAGAGAGTACATGACCTGAGAAGTTACAATTGTAATGCAGTCACTTACAGCCACTTCTGTATCTACAGTTTGCATTGCAGTAAGATCTAGAGAGTGTTGGTGTGTGACTGGAACAGAAGTTTCCCATTCCCAAAGACCTTACAGTCTGACTGCATTGTTTTTCTCTAGCATCCTGCTTTCCCCTGTGATCTTCACCTTGTAGAGGAGCCTTCACCAGGAGCTAGTTGCATTTTGTGTACTGAACGTTGCCAGGAGTTTGCTGCCTTAGGCATGCAACTGGGAGTAGGGTGGACTGGCAGTAGATAGCTCTTGAAGCAACTGGCATTTCTGAGAACCTGGGAGTGTTTCCTGAGGCAAAATTTCCTGTAGCTGTTGCACATTGTGAATGCCCTCCCATTTGCTTGTTAGTCCTGAGCTACATTTGTCCCTCCAGGTCCCAGAGTTTCTGTCATCTGTTTGGATTCTTGCACTGTGCTAATAAACACCCTCCACTAAAGGGAACCAGTATCCAAAGGAGCACTGGGTTTTTTACCTGTTTCCATTATACAGGGATTGCATGGGGTTTTTTTCCAGAGGTCTTCTGGTTACTTGTAGAAATGCTGGACTCCCAGCCTGTTCCTGGGGACCTCTCATCTGGAAATTGGCCAGATTCTCCAGGAGGAATCTCAAAAATGCAGCTGAACTTTTGTTCCCTAATTAGGCCAACTTCCCCAGTGTGAGCCCCAGCAGTGCATGGCCTGGAGCTCCCCAAGGCCTTGCACTGCCTATGCCCTGTGCACCCCGAGTGGCTGGCCAGCAGGGCAGTTATTTTCAGCTTTCTGAGCTTATCTTGTAGCTTTTTGATGACATCTTCTGAAATAGCTTTTCTAGTCAGCCATGTTTCCCAGCCTTTCTAGTAGTATCCTCCCTGCTTGGCAACCTTGATGTGGATTAGGGGCAATCTCATAAAAAATAATTTAATAAAAGCTTTTCCTTTTCCATACTTGTATTTCATGCTTTGAGTGCTCCTGGACCCACTTGAAGGCAACAGAAGAACAGTAGGAAGGGTGGAGGTGGATGGGGATATGTCTGACAGTATGTAGCACAAGGTATTATCAAACTGTTTGAGTGATGTTCATGCCTAGAAAGGCTGGAGGGGCACTTCCCTGTAACTGTGGGTTGTGAGAGGATTCTACCTGGTGACCACTTGCTCAGAGAATCAAATTGTTGTGTACTGATTCACTGTTTTCATGCAGGAGAGAGCAGTAACTCCTGAGATAGGTCAAGATGCCAAATGCCAGAGAGGTGACAGATTTCCCAGCAGGTGCACATGTGAGCTGATTAGATAGCTGACCACTGTTTTAGGGGAGAAGTTCTTGATAGCTTTTTAACAATATGAGCTGCTCCTTTACCTGCTCTGATAGATGACAGAGAATATTTGAAGTTCCTCCCAAGCACTTTTCCTGGCTCAAGAGCACTTTCTCTAGTAAAAGGAAAGCCAGTGACCATGAAGAAGGTCAGTTTGTGGATGAAATGGAAATCCAGTATTTTCTACCGGGTATGCAAGACATGCAGAAGTCCTTGGAGGGTATTCATTTAAAATCAGATACACTATTTGAACCATATGTGGACATGATAAAGAGAGCTAGCAGAGATGGGCTGTTCTTTGCAAAAAAACCCAGGCTTGCATAGGTCTGGGAATTGATCCCTTTTTGTTATCATATATGCTCTGAGATCAGTATAGATTGTGTTAGGTGGCTGCTTGGAAGCAGTGGGGCTATTTGACTTACAGTTTCTTAATTGGCAGCAGTCAAAACTAATTCATCAGACCTGTTTGTTGAGGTTTGCCTTTCTTCAGTCAGAGGAGCCTCAGGCATCTTGCTGGAGAAGAGGAACCTTGAGACTGGCCATACTTCTTTCTTTCCACTCCATGGTCAATACTGGATAAAAACAAGACACCTACATCCATATATAATCTCTCAGTGTTTGTATATTGGGAAAACATAGATCCTATAAATTTTAAGAGATGTATTACATGATAGAAAAATTGTGTGTCCTCTGTTACACGCTGTCAATGTCATTTGAGTCCCTGCATCCCTGCACAGAATGCTCAGTGTTTCAAAGGAGTTTCATGTTGATGAAGGTAAATTAATCCATATTTCCAGACCCATCTGAGAATCTGAGGGACCCAACATGTCCATAATCTGTCTCTGTTGTGGTAGGTCCTGAAAGAAACTTTGTTGGACCTTCGGGATCCAGAGACATACAGGATAGCTGCTTCCATGAGGGAAGCAGCATCCAACTGGCACCTTCAGAACTTCAGACGTGATCTGACAAGTAGCCTGGAAATTTCTGCCTTAATGAAGAAGCCAAATTAGAATTCTGCATCTGTCTGATAAGAAAGGTCCTGACTACAGATAAAGAAGAAGGTAGAGTTTCTGCTTTAATGCAGGAGAGATGGAATTCAGGCCAGTCATTTTTCAAAGGGAGAGATAAAACACTGATTATGGAGGTAGCATGAAAGTGTTGGTAAGGAGGGTGGCCTGAGAAATACTGGAAAAGTGCCATCACAAAAATGGTGAACTGAGTTTCTGAGGAAAAGAACAAAACAAAACAAAACAAAAAAACTCAGACCGTGGCAATTTTCCTTGAAAAAGGGGACAATCTACAGAAACTAAAGTACAGGAAATCTCCTGGAGATAAATAACTGATAAAAGTGAAGTATAAAGGCAAACCACAGCAAGAAAGTGATTAATTAATGCCGTGATAGAGACTGAGCAGCAAGAGCTGAGAGAGAACACTGCTGTCAGGAGTCGGTGGAATCTCAATGTTTCGAACACCAAACTGTTTAGGTGTATAGCTCAGCTTTGCATTTGGGAACATACATAAAAATCATGCCTAGGGTGTTACAGTAGGTACCAACAAGTTCTGATCATTTAAATTCTCCAGTTTTTTTCACCAAAAAGGTGTGTTCAGGAGCACATTTGCTGCATTACAGAAGAACAGGGTCCTCTGTTTCTGCTCTGATCTCTCAGGGGTTGACATTTGTCCCACTTTCTGCCTCAAGCTCTTGGTTGCAGCTGCAAAGTCCCTACCAGTCACCATATTATGGCAATGCACAACATTGCATTCTCAATTGTAAATTATACTGAGGTTTTGGAAATGTGAAAGTATATGAAGGTAAGTTTATTTACTTGACAAAAGCGCATGTGGAATGTGACCTTATTACAGCACTTTCCAGGCAACTAACAAAGAAAAGCTATTTATCCTCAGCTGACAGTTAACATTGCCTTTCCTGTTGCTAGTGCTCCTGTAGGCAATTCAGAAAGAATTACCTGATTTATTGCAAGAGCAATAACAGATCTGTGTGAGGTGTTTGTCAGGGCCTGACAGACATTCAGGGTTGCCTGGTGTGTATGATCAATGGGAACACGTTAAAACGTTGGCAAGACATTGGAATCAAACCCCTAGATGCCATGGAGTCATGCCCTGTGCAAAGGCTGGAGCAGTCAGTCTCATCACCCTCTGATCTGGTGTGCCCCAGTTGAGATATCTTTGGTCTTAAGGCTAGTTTTGATGATGAGGAAATTAATGTAAATGCATTGAAACGCCCTGGAAATGCTGCATTTTCCCTCAGCTTTATGGCCCAGGTTCTTTGGTGCAATTTGTGTATCTCTGTGCACCTTTGCAAGGAGTTGTGAGGCTGTGTGTTGGAAACGTGGCTTGCTGGCTATCAGAGGAATAGTGTGAGGGGAGAGGGGTTGTTTGCACAGGAAGGGTCTGCGTGGGAGGGAGTGTGTTTTTGAGGTAGGGGTGTGTGTAATGGGAATAGGGATGTTTATGTGGGCATGCACACCCATATGTGGTGTGTTTTCCCCCTTTTTCCTGGGCTCTGGGTGTGTCCAGATCAACTGAATTCAAAATGCTCCTTTTTTGGCACTGTAGCCTCTTCTCTGGTTTGGCATCTTAAGAATCTGGGGGAATCATTTAAAGATCAGAAAACTCCATTCACTTGGGCCCCTGAAGGCTTCACATTCTGTGACATGGTCATTCCAGTCGACTGAGCTCTGTCCCCTACGGATGAGCCCATATAAGGAGGCTGTTTCCTGCATTTCACGCTCCCTGTCTGTCCCTCTGCCCTCCTGTGCTCCCTTTGCTGAAGAAAGTTGGTATTTTGGGACTGCAGCTCCTGCCTCATTCCTGCTCCCTGTTTATTTTTGGAGGATGACTATTTTTGCTCCTATCAGGGAGCTATGCAGGGTCATGCTCCCTCCCTGCAGCAGGCAGTGGCTGCCCCTGGCAGGGTCTCTTAATTTCCCACAGTCACAAACAGTGCTTCTACTTCAAGAAATAAACATGGGAGACCCCTACCATCAGGAGCTAGCTCAACCCCTTCCTTATGTGTGGTGAGAGGTGATTTGCTTGGACTCAGGGTTGACCCCATCACACATGCAGGGTTGTCTCTGAAGTCTCAAATCCTCAGGAGTCATCCCACTCATTCACTTTCTTAATAAAAGCTGTGGGAGCCACCTGTCCCCTTACCATTCTTTGGCTGTTACCATCTTTTCCCTGTTTTCAACATCTTTTACCCAAACATTCTTTCTCATGATGATCCCTTCACCATCCCCTGTAATCTATCTTTGATCATTGGGCACCATCAATTGGGAACTGTATAAACTGGGCTCACCTTGCCTCTCTGCTTCCACCACTGCCTGTCATGCAGAACACAAGTCACTGCTGCACAAGGTGCCTCAGGCTGAGGGAACTGAATCCAAAACTGTAAAGGCAAAGGGCAGCTCCCACATAGTGGGAATTCATGGCCCCATTTGAAAATTCCCATCCTAAGCCCCAAGCTGAATTCCCGTTTTCTCTTGCCATATGGCAGAGTGCCACACAAGACAATGCAAGAAAATAGCAGGGAGTGTCTTTAAGCTCCAGATGAACTTCCCCTTTAGATTTCAGTGTTGGCAGGGGTGGGATTCATCCTAACTAACTTTGGAAGTGTTTGGTATGGCTCACTGTATTTGAACTTAGCATCTATTCTCCTATTCTAGGCAGTGGACAAAAGCATACTTTTTTGGAACAATTCCTCATCTAAAACAAGATGTCTAAAGCATGCTGTCTTGTACCCTAGGAAAGACGTAACATAATACCTCCCACTGCTATGTGGGCAACAGTAATGAACAAGTTCCCAGTGAACCCTATTTTGCCAGGAGAGCACATCCTCTGTGGATCAGTCTGCTGCAGTCCTGTGTGTCCTGGACAAGTCAAAGGCACACAGACCTGAAATTTGTCAAGATCCTGATTAGAGTGATGCAACTTTTTCTTACAGAGATGCTTAAAAACCTGTCCTGTAATATATGTCCTCCTTTTATTTTGTTAATAAACAGCATTTTAAACACTATCTGTCCATCTGTTATTTGGTAAAGTGTTACATTAGTATGTGTAGACCTGGTGTCTCAGTTGGCTTGACTTTGCCTTGACTGGAGCTGTCTGTAACGTGTCTCTTCACTTTATTAAAGGGTCCACCACCTAAACCACCACGCCGGCAAGGAGGCTGGGCAGATGATCCTGTAATGGCACCTATCAAGTGAGTCCTCACCTCTTTCCTTATTAAGAGGGGCTTAGGTGTGGATTAAGTGAACATCACTAGCTGGACTTTACTGTCAGAGATATTGGAACAGTTTTTGTGGGTCTTTTAAATGGCTTCCGTCTCCAATACCAATGTAGCTCCTTCAAGCTGTTTGAATTATTGCTCTTGCTTGGTTCCATTGGTTAATTGACTTGGTGAGACTCAGAACTGTGTACATATCACTATTTGCCATAGGCAGTGTATTCCTTACCTGGTACAGTACCTGGAAGTAGTCAAGAACATAATAAGCATGTTAAATGCAGGAGCTGAGGTGGGAGGTTTTGACTGGTTCCATCCTTTCCAAGAGAGTGACACATGACAGCGCCCCACTTATGAGTGCAATGAACACATCAAGATTTAATGATCAGCCTCGACAGTAAAGGTGAAATTTGTCAATGTTTATGTGTGTATGGGGTTATGTTATAATGGAGACGGATAGAAATGGTCATCAAGAAGAGATGGGAGGAAAAAAGTATATAAATTGTAGAGTATATGTTGAGAAACCTGATGCTTATGAAGGACACCTAAGGTAAAGGAAATATCTGCACATGGTAATAGAATACGTATGAAAACTAAAGGACAGTTCAGACTGGGAGGAGATGACTTGCTTTCAAACCATTTGTTGTTTTCCAAGCTATGAAATTATACTGATGTATTTCATATTCACAGAGCTGAAGGGCTCAGCCATGTAGTGGTGTGAGATTGCTTGTGTACTTAAAGGCCTTTAATAAGAGTGTATATGCCTTAATATATACTTTGGAGGCAGTCTGATCTATGAACAATTATGTATTTTCTTCTTTGGAACTCTGAGAATGGATGAGGACATCCAGAAACCTCTTATACAGTCACTATTGGGAGGTGAGAAAGGTGGTCTGTATTCTGGGGTAGCCTTTCTGGGAAACAGTAGTTTTCTAGGAAAATTGTCACTCTGTTTGTCTCTGAAAAATAAATAATCTGGAGACTGAAATAAAGCAAAGGAATAAAGATCTCAGCCTGAACTCCTGTTCCTCTCCAGTTTATCCCTGATAATAGTTATTTTTCATAGGCTGGCTGCAGCTAGACGTTGCCATTGCAAAGTTGCATCCGCCTCAGTGTATTAAAAAAGTGCCACCAATGATCCTCAATTTTGTAGGATCAAGCAGAAGCTTTATGGAAATGTGACAGCAGAGAACAAAGGTGAATCTCATTGTTTAGGAAAAAGAAGTTATGTAACTGTTGACTAGGAGAAGGACTGGACTGGAGGTAATACTTAGTCAGGGCTGTGTCTAATGTGCCCCAAAGGACAGTGTACAGATTCCTAATGTGACAGCACTGTCCCACGTGCTACTTTACCATGTTTTCCATTGTTTGACATTAGCCTTATCCAGGAGATTTGCAGCAGTAGCTGTCAGTGGTGCTTCCCCAGATCTCAACTGCATGGCTTACAGACATTTTAGGTGTCTGGAGTAAATGCTTCTATGATGTTGGATGCAATTCAGCTGAAGAAGCAGAACAGGAGATTCTGTAGGGCTGCAGACCTTTCTGCATGTGAGACTCTGCAGAGACATGAGATCAAGATGCGCCCCTTGCTCAGTCATGCATATGGTACTGTGTCATATCTGATAGTGTTCTTTTCATTTGTGTTAAGAGTTTTTATTGGATAAATTTCATGAAGGAGAAGTTTGTTCTGATTTTCTTCAGTCATATGAGGTACGACTAGTTCCCCTCTTTCCTTCAGCTGTGTATTCTCCTGAAGCTGGTCTCTCTTCTTCTCTCTCTTAAAAAAGTCTGAGATGCTGGCCTGTAGGGCTGTCTTTGTGACATATCCCAGGGTAAAGCCTTCATGTGAAAAGTCTGAGTCATCGGCTGATGTCATACCAATGTTGCTGTAGCTTTGTTGTTTCTGTTTTCTCAGGCTCTATCTCCCCACAACTTTTCAACCAATTTGACTCAGTTTGGAAGCCCATCAAGTTAACTTGCTCCAATTTCACTAGTGTAGATGTAGTTAGAATAACATGCTTCTGTTGATACATCTGATGTAGGTTTAAGCACTTTTATGCCAGTGTAACTGAGCCTACACTTGGGAATTTTTCTGTTAGAAGTAATTAGATTTTCAGAACTGACAATGTTAAAATCTGATTTTTTCGTGTGTTTACTTGGAAAGGAAGGATGAGCAGAGTGGCTACAGTTAGATTTTCTGTGTTGTGTAGAGTCAGATGCGATACTGCAGCCACTCTTGCAATGATTTTGTAGCCATTTATGTGTTATTGTTTCTCCATTTGAAGTCTTAGCTCTTAGTTCTGTTTCTGACAGATTCAGCCAGATGCCACTGCATGTGTTGATTTTCCTGCAGGAATCCTTTTCTGCTGTATTTCTAGTTCTGAGTCTTATCAGTGTGAAGTGATCACTTAAAAATGTGGGGGTTTTTTTGTTTCCATTTGGCACATGTTAGAGAATGTAGCTTGCAACCTGTTTTTCTGTTTTTCTACCTCTGCTGCTCCCTCTTCATCCCTCACCTACTCAGGTCTTGTCATGCTTAGGTAAACTTGCAGATCTTCTCACCATCTTGCTGATTATTTCCATCAGACTCCTGCTCTCTCAGACTTTTGCAAGATAGAAAGATGAGGAGTTTTCCAACCTATAATTATTTTTTAAGTTAATTATCACAGGTGGTGTACAAGTGAGATAAAGTGTTTTATCCTGAGTGCCCATATAATTCACAAGTGTCAGATACTTAAATTGCCGAAAACTATCAAAATGCTCTTTTACTCAAGTTTTTAAAAGCCATGCATGGAAAGATTACTTTGGACTCTTAGTACATCTGCAGAACTGCTGTCATTGCTAGGAGTCCCATTTGGTAAAACTGGATAATGATGAAGACTGCAGGTAAGTGTCTGAGCAAACCCCCAGTCTGGTCCTTTGCAATCAGCAAATAAATGGTGCAAAGTAGTGACAGAAAATTCATTTTCCATGCTGACAGGCCATCAGTACCTGAATCTGCCTTATCTAGTTAAATTTTTACTCAGAAGAATAATTCTCTATGAGAAGAGGCAGTCCCATTGCTGCCCCAGCAACATTCTAGCCCCAATATTAGCGGAAAGGGGACCAACCAAGAATTTAGGCAGCCACTTGGGGCCTTGTATCCTGCTGAGATAATAGTAATTACAGCTGGGTTTTGCTACGGAAGCAGCTCTCTAACCACTGGATGGAGCCCAAGTGCCATTCTGAATACTGTGCTGATGTCCCTAATGACATCAGTGTTGACACTTGTGACAAGCAAAGCAGAGGTTTATTATCAGGTTATCTCACACATCAAAGGAAAGAAGCACAAAGTGCCTGCCAGTGGGAAAAGGAAAAGGGTTTTGCATACGAGTGAGGATTTGATAAAGGAGGAGTGCTTCCAGGATCCATTTAGTTCCAACTTCTTCCGATCTCATATCTCTGACTTGACTGATAGAATTCTTCAGTTTCCTCTCTAGCAGGATCTTTATTTCTTTGCTTCTTGGGACTCTTTCTGTTTACCTGGATGCTGGATTCCTTTGGTTTTGCAATGAGCCCCCTAAAATTTCTACAGCTTTGTACACAGCAGCTAGGGTTGTTCTGTAATAAACACAGTTCATTTCAGGTGGCCCTGCAAGCAAACACAAGCGCTGCTTTCAGTAGGAAGTCCCTTCCAGTGCCTGCATATGTACCTCCTTTCTTCTACGTGGATCATGGCAGTTTAGCAACAGGTGCTTCAGCTACAGCTGAAATGTCCCCTTTCTGACTGATAGGTCACACAGAGTTGGAATAATCAAGGCTTTTTAGGAAAATGACCATGCTGAAGTATTTTGGGACAGAAGTGGTGGTGGTACAGTGTTCAGGAATGCATTTACAAAGAGGGTGAATATTAAGGGCCTGTAGGAAGGAAGAGGATGCAGTTGGGATGACCTTTAGAGCAGGGTAACTGAGCCCCTCTGCAGATACCATTTAGGGCTCTGGAGGGTGGGCAATGGTGAGATTGCACCCTGGGGCTGGAGGAAAGTTATTTAAGATATTAAGGGGTTTTATGATTCAAGGTCTCTAGAGGTAAGTAAAGTTAAAAACCTCCTGTTTCAAAAATATGGGCTTAAACTGTCTTGTGTTCTATCTATAAGAAGTGACCCCTGAGAGTGCCTGGTTATAGAACCTCCAGTCATTCCTGTGTTGCACCTGGGAGTAGTAAAGTGCTCATGAGTTTCTCCATCTGGCACAAGCTTGTCATTGCTTCTGCCCTCTACTCCCAGTCCAGCAGTGTTGAGGTGAATCTCAGGCTGGATTTCCCTGTGACACTGCCATGTAAGGCGGGGAGCCAGACGTCTGGCTGCACAGGAGACATCAGCCTCGCTCTGCATCTTGCAGCCATCTGTGGATGTTCTCAGTGATGTGAAGAATATAGGCACAGAGGATCAAGGCTGCCAAGTGAGGGGGCACAACTTAGAAGGAGAAGAAAGAAAAGGAAGTCTGATTAAGTTTTGTCTTGAAGTGTCTGTTTTTGGGTTTGTCCCTGCATTGATCTGCAAGGGAATGAGGCAAGTAATGGCCCCTTGGGGACCTTCAGGACTTTCCTCTCAATGTCAGCCGTCATTTTCAATCACCCTCTCCCTCCCAGCCATTAATTTTGGCCCAGGATCATGGGGACTTGTCCATCTATCACTCCTAATTGACACTAAATGATCTGTCAGTTTATTGATGAACGGCAGGAGTGGAATTGTCACAATATATTTTACTTTCTAACAACTCCTCCTGACAATTTTACCTTGTCCATCTCACTCTCCTCACATAAATCTCCATTGGCCTCTCATTCCTTCTCTTGGGCTGATCCGGTGCCAGCCACCTCCATGCCATCGGCACGCATCAAGGACATCAAGATGGTGGTAAACTGCAATGTGCAGGCCCAGGGTGGGTTTTTTCCTCCCTGTCCCTGCCCCCCTCCGCTTTTCTTTTTCCTTTTTTTTTTT